GTCTATAACTCTACCTCTCAAATAAATAAATAAAATTAAAAAAATAAGTAAAAGATGTTGAAGCTGCAGTTATGGCACAGGGGATTAAGCCTCTGCCTACAACATAGACATCCTATGAGTGCGGTTTGAGTCCTGGCTGCTCCACTTCTGATCCAGCTCCCTAATAATGTGCCTGGGAGAGCAGTAGGAGACGGCCCAAGTGCTTGGGCCCCTGTATCCACGTGGGAGACCCGAAAGAAGTTCTGGCTCCTGGCTTTGGCCTGATTCAGCCCTGGCTGTTGTAGCCATTTGGGGAGTGAACCAGTGGGTGGCAAATCAATTTTTTCTCCCTCTCTCTTTCTAACTCTGCCTTTCAAATAAAATAGACCTTTAAAAAAAGTGTTCATTTTTGGGTGCCAAAAGAGTTTAGAAATTCATGCACCATTTTCCATAACACACATTTCTATACACGACTTAAAATATTCTCATATCATGGGAGATCAAAAACACATGAAATCAGTTATTCCAACTGTTAAATAAGTCATAGTTCAGCAAATATAAAAATCATAAAGATTTCTCATCTAGATTGAAAAAGAAAAGAAAAAACCCTCTCAGTACTTTTTTTTTTTTTTCGCAGAGAGACAGAGAGAAAGGTCTTCCTTCCATTGGTTCACCCCCCAAATGGCTGCAGAAGCCAGGTGCTCCTCCTGGTCTCCCATGGGGTGCAGGGCCCAAGCACTTGGGCCATCCTCCACTGCACTCCCTGGCCACAGCAGAGATCTGGCCTGGAAGAGGGGCGACCGGGACAGAATCCGGCGCCCCAACCGGGACTAGAACCCGGGGTGCCGGCGCCACAGGTGGAGGATTAGCCTAGTGAGCCATGGTGCCAGCCCTCGCTTAGTACTTTGGAAGCCTCAGCAGTTTGGTCCTGCAGGTCCCACTGGGGCCTCACCCTGCCCAGGAAAGTCTCCTTCTACCCCTTACGTCCTCAGAAACAATGCCCTCCTTGCAGGTGCCTGGCCCGAGTGTGCTTGTTGGCTGCTTTCTCTTCTCCTGACCGTGAGCTCTGAGGGCAGGGCCAGAGTCTGTTCTGGGTGCCCACCCTCCTCTCAGTACCTAGGAGATGCTCGGCCAGTAACCGTCGCTAAATGAGCAAATGAGTGAATGGGTGACCAAGGGGACAGATGGACACGCGGATGACTGAATGAATGAATGAAGTCTGATCATCTTATCCTGTGCTGGGACCTGCCTTCACCTGCTCCCCATAATCTGGCCAACCCCCTCTCCAGCGCCAGCTGGGGGTGCTGGGCCAGACGGAAACCCCAGCCAGTGGCCGTGCCCCAGCAGCAAGGAGGGGACGGCAGCTCACTCTTGGCCTTCTGCGGGAACAACGCCAGGCGCCACCCCCTCCCCCCTCCCACTCGGCAGGCTCCCACCCCTGCCCCTAGTTGGGGGTCCCTGGCTGGCCCTTACTTCGGCCAGGGCCTCGGCCTCCAGGGACTTGTGGTCCCCTAGGCTGCTGTGCCTGGTAGAGCCGCAGGTCGACCTCATGGAGTGCGCTTCGGACAGCGCCTTCTTGTCGGGGAAGTTGATGCTGCCGGCGCTCCCGAATGTCGCCATCCTCCGCTTCTCGGGGCTCTCGATCCTCCCCCGGGGGAGGGGGATTTTGTGGGGGCTGCTGGGGCAGGCAGCGGCCCGGGGCGGCGTGTCTAGGCTGGGGCCCAGGCCGCGGGGCGGGCTGTGCGTGTCACCCCCGCTTCGGCGCCTGGGGATGGCCGCTCCATCGGATCGCAACCGCACTCTGCAAAGGAGCCAGGGGGTGGGGGGTGTGGGGCAGAGGTCAGCCCTGGCCCGTCTCAGAGAGGTCCTCCAGCCCCATCTACGTACTACACGCCAGGCTAGGGGTGGGCAGAGGGGAGTCACACAGCCAGGCCCACCGTCTGCTCTGGTGCAATGCAGCCGCAGGGGGCCCGGAGCCCGCAGCTGCCAGGCTGCTTAGGGCGGGGCGTGCATTGCAGAGGGATTCTCCTCCACGGACAGCTCCAGGCCCGTGGGACTCCCACCTGGCTCCTAACAGGCCCGAGGCACTGAGGCAGCACCCCGGACCCCTGCAAACACAGAGAGCCCCCTGCAAACTGGACACAGCCCAGCGTCGTCACTCCTGCACAAGCTCCCCAGACAAAGGCTACTTTGAGGGGGCTTTTCCAGATCTTGCCATTCAAGAAAACCTGCGATTCAAGAGCAAACACGGCCTCACGGGACTGCCCTGTGTCCCATCTCAGACAGGCCCAAGGGGCTGCAGTGGGGACCGGGAGGGTGAATTCACACCTGTGTCTGCCACAGGCGTCCCTCCGTTCTCTTTCAGATGCACTGTGTTAATCTGTTAAAGGGGCACAGTATCTCTCACCCAGTTTTGACAGCACCTTGAAGGCAACAGGTTCTGCGCTGGGGAGATTCTGCTGGGTTGCACACTCTGGCCCTGGCGAGGGGGGAGGCTGGCCGTGGGAGAGGGCCGGGCAGAGCGCCGTGTGTGCAGCAGTGCCGTGAGCCAAGCTAAGCAGGCCTGTGGGGCTCCACAGGCCCAAAGCACAGCGGCAGAGAGGGAGACCAGGAGCAAGCAGGAGAGGCAGGGAGAGGGAGAGGAGGAGAACAGAAGGCCGGGCCCTCCCGGGAGTCAAGGGACCAGGACGTTTGTGGCATCTGCCCACTGCCCCTCCCACTTCCCGCCCCTCCCAGTCCTGAGCTGAATAAAAGGTGCGGAGGGGGGCCCTGGGACCTGCGCTGGACCACACCCAGGAGGGCCTTGGGCTCCCATGCAGACTGCTGCATGTGACACCCTGAGAGCCCAGTGAGATGAGCAGAGGGCAGCTGTCCACCCCTCTCCGCTCGGCCCCGACTCAGCTTGCTTGCGCCACGCCGTCGGAGGATATGCTCCCTGCCTTGTGGAAAGCAGGGGTCCACTGGCCGTCTGGCCGTCGGCCCTGGCCAGGCAGGTGGAGTCGAGAGTCAACCTACCCCACCACATGGCAGATCAGCCTTCGACTCTTCAATAAAACCGCTCAGGTCTGCCCCCAGAGACCTGAGACAAGTCTGTCTCGCTCGCTCTCCCTCTCTCTCACTCCGCCCCACCCTGCCTCGCTCTCTGTCCTGGTTACTACTAGAAATGAAAAGCTCGGAGTTCGAGCTGATGTCTTAGCCCCCTTCTTCACCCCACACCTGGTGGCTTTAGTCCTGGCTTTCTCGGGCCATTTTCTGCCCAACACCGGGCACTAATAGCTTCTTTCCGCCTCCCAGTGTTCCTGCTTCTCCCAAACCTCACGGGGCCAGGCACGGCGCTAGCAGGGGCAGGTGTGCCCGCGTCTCCTACCGGCCCATCACCCCTCCAAAGCCATAGTCCGAGATGTGCTCTGTGGGGGACTGCAGGTCGTTCTTGGAGGAAGCCTTGTCGTCCAGCAGGGGCCCGCTGCTCGCCTCGCTGTCCGCCTTCTGGCTCAGGCTGTCGGAGAAGGCGTCGTCCCTGGGGAGAAGACAGATGTGAACCGGGGGTGCCTGCTCCAGAGAGGCCAGGACACGCAGAGCTCCCTGACACCTGCCTGAGGGGCGGAGTCAGCACTCACCTCCCCACCCTCCCCACAGGGCTCCCTTCTGGAGTCAGCTCCTCCAGCAGCTCCCTTTCTCTGCCCCAGCACAGTGCACCCACCTGCTTCTCCTGCTTCTCCTCCTCCCTCCCCCCCCCTCCCCCTCTCTCCCCCTCTCTCAGGCGGCTCCAGGGGCCGCTAAATGCCAAAAGGTGTGTCTGAAAGGGTGCGGAGGAGTCCGCACGCTGGGCAGTGTGGGACAAGTGGTTTTATCTTGGCAAGGTGTGGCCGCAGCCCCCTGTGGCTTGGCCCTCACCTTGCCTGCGGCTCTATCCCTGCCTCCAGTGGCCTGGAACAGGGAGGGCCTTCCCCCAATGCCTCCCTCCCGTGATGATGCGGGCTTTGGGTCCCTTTCCTTGTGAGTGAGTCCCATGGCTGCTCCCGGGACAGACCAGCTTCCCTGAGCGGCACGGGGTACCCGAGCACAGGAGCCGGCAGTGGCGCTCAGAGTGCAGAGTTTCCGTGGCCGTGCTGCTGGCACGCGGGGGCTTTTCTTAAGCCCTAAAATTATTTTTAATATCCTCATTATTGTGAAACATGGTTTCCTCTGTTCCTGCCCATCCTGAGAGCACACTTCTGGAGCAGAGACTGGCGGCCACTGGGTGGGGGCGCTGGCCCCAGGGAAGACGGAGGAGGGTGGAGTCACTGCCCCCCCCCCAGAGGGTCCCGCCACCACTCACATGTCCTGCACCACGATGTACTGGTGCGGGATGAGGCCGTCCACACCGTTGTGCCGGCCCTCCCACCAGTCCTCGGACGCGCGGTGGTACAGCAGCAGGGAGGCCCCCTTCTTGAAGGACAGCTCCCGCGGGGACCGGCCCACGTAGTCGAACTTGGCGATGGCCTCGATCTGCTCCACTTCTGCAAGGAGAGCAGGGTGTCGGGGGCAGCTCAGGCACCTCCTCCAGCCCCCGCTGCCGGGGAGGGCGGGTGGCTCAGGATCCAGGACTGAGGGCTCAGCCACGCCCCAAACTTGGTGGATCCTTATCTCCCGCCACCCTCCTGTTCTCCGCTTCTTTATTAAGACAACTTATTAAGACAAACTCCTGAGAACTGTTTTTCTTTTAACCCTTAACACAAGTCCTATTTCTATTTTTCTTCTCTAAAATTATTTTACCCTTCTCAATAAATGGTGCTGCCAAACTTGGTATATACATATATATGTGTGTGTGTGTGTGTGTGTGTGTGTATATATATATATATATAATGTATAAAAATGAAGTTAGAGCCCCACCTCCCACCAGATACAAAAATCAAGTCAAGATGGATCCAAGACCTAAATTTAAGACCTGAGATTATGAAACTGCTAGAAGAAAACGTAGGGGAATCACTTCACGACACTGGCGTAGAGGATGACTCCCTGGATAACACCCCGAAGCACAGACAACAAAAGCAAACTGGGACAAATGACACGACATCAAACTCAGAGGCTCTGCACAACAGAGGAAGGCAGCCACAGAGTGAGGAGACGTCCAGCAGAACGCGGAAGGACATTCACGAACCTCTTATACAAAAGATCAACATCCAGAATACAGCCACAACTCAAAACATTCAGTGACTAAAAAACCCAAGCAATCCAATTAAGAAATGGGTAAAGGACATCGATGGTTCCCTAAAGAAGAAATGGTCAGCAAATACATGAAAAATAATGCTCAACATCGCTAGCCATCAGGGAGATGCAAATCAAAACCACAATGATAGCACCTCACCCTGTGAGAATGGCTATGACCCAAAGGCCAGGGGAAGACATACACACTGTTGGTGGGAATGTAAATTAGTGCAGCCACTGCAGACAAACACTATGGAGAGTTCTTTAAAAATAAAAATAGACTTGCCATATGATCCAGCAGGCCCACCATGGGTACGTACCCAAAAGACAAGGGCACAGTGTATCAGAGATACCTGCCCCACCATGTTCACAGCAGCACTGTTCACAAGAGCCAAGCATGGACTCAGCCAAGGAGTATACGTGTGTGTGTGAGTCTATAACATATGTGCACATGTAACAGGATACTAGTCACCTATAAAAAAGGAAATCCCGCCCACCCTTCCATCTTCCACCCACTTATTTACCACACAGGTCAGGTCAGAACATCTGGCTTCCATCACTTTCCAGCTGTGTGACTTGGGCAACTTCGCTCTCCTTTCTCGGCCTCCGTCTCCCCCTTGCTAAGTGGACACGACATTAATAATACCTGCCTTGCCCCGTGACAGCCACGGGGCGTCTGCCAGCCAGGGCTCAGGTGGTGAGACGCCCTGGCTTCCCACCTCCCCAAGGCGTCCCCTTGTCTCGCGCAGACCCCTGGTGCTCGGGATATGCTGAGGCTCGTCCCCCCCCCCGCCCCGCCCGCTCCCCGCTCAGTCTGCAGCCCCTCACAAGCCTTCTGCACGATTCCCTCACCTCTGCTCCTGCGGCAGTTTAAACACACAAGGTGACAGTGAAAGACGTGGGAGCACACGCATCCCTGTCCCCTAAATCCTACACCGGGGCCTTTGAACTTGCCCCTGCCGCCCACCAGGAAGCTCTTCTCCCCTGTCTCTACGCTCACTCACGTCTAACAAATGTGGACCAACCATCAGGTCTGTGCTCACGTGGCACTGCCCTCACAAAGGCCCGTGGCCACACCCAGCCACGAGACTCCCACATGCCAATCACTTCTTAATGCCTGCCCTTGCTCTGTTTGTCTTCTCAGCACTTCTTCCAACCTGAGAGTCTATGTGAACAGGTGCACGTGTGTGTGTCACGTGCGTGAACACATTTATACACACATCGTTTCAAATCCATTCACTGCCAGGCCTTCTGCTACAGCGTGGAGACCACTGGCACAGGAGGTGCAGGACCACAGTGGGCCCGGCTGCCGTCCCGCGCGTACTCGCTGCTTGCATGAATGAATTCCAGCTTCACCACATGCTGAGTGCTGCCCCTCTGTCAGCTCACTGGATGCCCATGAGACACGTGCTGGAGACATCAGCCCCAGGTAAGATGAGGCGACAAGGCAGAGCTGAGCCGCTGTGTCCAGGGGTGGCCATGGGAGCCCAGCGTGGGGCACTGAGCCCTGAGCCAGGCCACACGCAGCAGGAACAGAGGCTTCTCAGTGTGTGTACCACCTGCTAACCTGAATCCTGTCACAGCCCTTGCATACGGACGGCGTATATCAGACACAGACACACACACATACACACACACACACTGCCACGTGTCTGCTATCTAATCAGCCTGCTTGTAAAGAGGCCAGCTGTGCCAGGCAGGGCTCCCCAGCCCTCTAGCAGGCAAGAGGTGCACAGGCCACTCCAGAGCTAAAGGTGGGCTCGAGGATGGCCCCACAGGGGCCCGGCTGGAGCCACACTGACAAAGCCCCTCCCTTGGCCTTGGCAGAGCAGGGCAGCGCTGGACGCAGAGTGGGCAGTGGCAGCAGCAGCTCAGAGGCTGTCACACGGGCCTGGGCCAGGCTTCTCTGGAGACCAAAGTCGTGCTGGAGCCTGGCTTTCACCGCAGAGTCCAACATGTAGCCATCTCACCAGTCTCGGCCCCGGACTCCCCTCTGCCCGTCACCCATGGAGCTCCAACTCCCCTCCCCACCTCGGCCAGGCCCCAGGGATCTGCCCACGGGAGAAGAGACAGCTCTGTTCCTCGGCACCTCCAGGCCCCCACCCAGGCCCACCCCACTCTGCTCCAGGAGAGGCGCCCTCCGTGTCTGTGGGCCGTGTCGCTGTGGAAGGCTGGGACATGACTGTGCCTCCTCTCCTTTCTCATCCGCTGTGCGGGGAAGGCCGCAGGGCCTGGCCACAGGGCTCCCTCTCCTCTCCCCTTCCCACAGCGACCTCAGGTTGCTTTGCCACCTGGGGCTCTGGCACCAGCGGGAAATGATGTAATGACGGGTGAGATGGGCACAGCCCCGGGGAACATGTGAAGAAAGCAAAAGGAAGCAGTGGGGGAGGAGGAGAAAGAGGAGAAGAAGGGAGGGGGGAAGAGGAAGAGGAAGAAGAAGGCACTTCAAGCCTCGGGGGTGGCCCTTTGGTCAAAAAGCCAGCGAAGAGACAGCTCCCCAAGAACGACTGGGCGAGAGGCGAGACCGCGAGACAAGGCTGAACCTCTCAGGAAGACGGAGCGGTGAGAAACAGGCCACACCAGACGGTACAACAGCAACACACAGGGAGGAACAGAGAGGTCAAAGCCAACAGGCGGAGACCTCAACATGTCACGTTCACGGATGGCTGTAACAACCAGACAGGAGACCACAAAGCAAGCAGCAGGCCACACGACGTCACCAGCCGGGGAGACCCAACAGACGCCGCAGGACGTCCCCTGACAACAGGCGACAGCGGACGTTCGCCAGGATGCTCCACCGCAAAACGAGCCCCAAGAGGAGGCGGAAAACAAGGAAACTGAAAAACAGGTGCAAACTGAACTTCCTGTTCCCCAACAGCCCAGGAGCAAAAGCAACAATCGAAAGAGAATTCAGAAAATACTGGAGCTGGACGCAGATGAAGAACGTAACACACCCGCCGGGGTCCAGCTACGGCAGTGCTTCCGAGACTCTCTCTGACGGAGGACAAAATCCCAGCTCAGTGATCCAAACTTCCACCTTAAACACAAGGAAAAACACAGCAAGCCATACCAGAAGCAGCTCGAGGAAGGAACTGGTAAAGATCAGAGCATGAACGAATGCCTAGAGACCAAGAGCGACAGACGTCCATGAAGCAGACGGCCCATTCTTTGCGGAAGTCGATGAAACTGGCACACCTTTAACTACACAATCCAAGGAGAACAGGGAAGACCCAAATAACTAGAACTAAAAAATGAAGAGGGACGCTGCTCCCAGCACTTTACGTGATGAAAAAGGGTCCTAGAGAAACACGCGTAGCTGTGAGTCAACATTCGGTAACTCAGACCAAACTACTGCTCTCCCTGTGAGATCAGGGGCAAGACACGGCTGTACGTTCTATCACTTCCACCCAACGCTGCACTGCAGGCCCTGGCATGGGAGATTAGGCCAGAAAAAGAAACAAACATCACCCAGGTTGGAAAGGGAGAAGGAAAACTATTATGATCTTGAACACAGGAAATCATTAGGAGTTTACCAAGAGCTGTTTAAATAAATGAACAAGTTCAGCAAGGTTGAAGGTACAAGAGCAGTCTACTAAAACAAATGGTATTGCCATACACTTGTAATAAATAATCCAAAAATAAAATTAAGAAAATGATTCTGTTCACACGGGCATCAAAAGGAGTACAGTGCAAGTCTCCTGCTCTTTAGAGCATTGGTGGAAGAAATCAAAGGGGACTAAGCTGCTGGGAGATGCGCTGGGCTCACGGATCAGAGGACAGCACTAAGCTAGCGGCCTTCCCCGTCCATCCACAAACTCAAGGTGAGCCCCAGTAGGGTCCAGCCGGCTCCTGTGTAGGAACTGAGAAGCCGATTCTAAACCTCGCTTGAAACTGAGAAGAACCCAGAACAGTCGAACAACATTGGAATAAACAAAGCTGGAGGACTGAACACTTGCCAGTTTCAAAGCTTACTGCTAGGCCGCAGCACTGAAGACAAGGCAGAGCTGACATGCACGCAATTAGATCAGTGCAAAACCTGAGTGTCCAAAGTCGCGCCCAGGGCAGCTGACCCAGCCCATTCAGTGGGGCAAAGGGTATCACTTTCAAAGAACCGCTGTGTGACAGCTGGACAAGCACACGCAAAGGCAGGAGGCTGAACCCTTACTCTATGTCAGACACAAAAATTAACTCAGATAAAAAACCTGAACAGAAAACCTAAAACTATATAACCCTTTAAAGAAAATATAGGCACACGTCTTGATGAACTTGGATTTGGCAAAGGACTCTTAGATATAAAACAAAAATAACAAACAACAAAAGAAAAAAATAGATGAATTGAGCTTTATTCATTAAAAAGTTCTTGAGGAAGGGGGGCGGGCTAAGCCTCCACCTGCGGCACCAGCATCCCACACGGGCGCTGGTTTGAGTTCTGGCTGCTCCACTTCTGATTCAGCTCTCTGCTATGGACTGGGAAAGCAGTGGAAGATGGCCCATGTGCTTGGGCCCTTGGGAGACCCAGATGAAGCTTCTGGCTTTGGCCTGGCCCAGCTCTGGCCATTGCAGCGATTTGGGGAGTGACAGAAGATAAAGATCTCTCTCTCTCTCCCTCCCTCCCTCTCTCTGTCTGTCTCTCTCTCTCTACCTTTCAAATAAGTCTTTTATTCAAAAAACAGTTCTCTGATTAAAAATGCATAACATGAAAGTCCAAAGGCAAAGCCACAGAATCAGACAGCGGAGAAGGGATTTATGTTCAGAGTCAGAGTACTTCAAAAAGTCCATGGAAAAAAATTAAAAGGTAAATTAATTTTGGTTCAATTTTTCTTAAATCCATACGTGGTTTTTTTTTTTTTAATATGCAATTCCATGATCTTTTTGAAGACCCAAGATAAAGGTCTGTTACAACTCCATGATAATCAAATGGTCAAAGGACCCGTTTAAGGAGATGTTTCTCCAAAAAAGGTATGTAAATTGCCAGTAAGGACATGTAACGCAGGTCCCTGTCATCAGTCATCAGGGACATGCAGATGCAAGCCTCGGTGAGCTGCCCCGTCACAGTCACCTCAGCGCTGGAAGCAGAAAAGCCAGACAAGAGCAAAAGCTGGTGAGGACGTGCAGAAACGGAGCCGGGCTCTGCTAACAGGAATGTAAAATCGTGCCGTCCCCAAAATGGTTCGCGGAGCTACTATACGACCCAGCGATGCCACTCCTGGTGTGCACCCAGAGAAACTGCATCGTACGTCTACACAGACACCTGCACACAACGCTCACGGCGGCAGTGTTCCCAACAGCTGAAGCACAAGCCACCCACAGCTCCCTCGGCAGACAAACGGAAAAACAAAGTGTGATCCGTCCACGCAGCCACGAGGAAGGATTCCACGGACAGACCTTAAAAACACGCTAAGTGAAGGCAGCCAGACACAAACGCCTCACACTGTGCGATCCTCTGAGGTGTCCAGACGAGGTAACTCCACCGCGACGGGGAGGGGAAGAGGGGCTCTCAGGCGGGGGGCAGACGCAGGGACAGGGCTGTCGTGTATCAAGGGAACGAGCTAAAGCATCCGGGGTTTCTCTGTGAGATGACCACGTTCTGAAACTGCAAAGGCTGCCCACCTGTGTGAACATGCTGCCAAGCAGCGCACGGCACACTTCTGGGGGTGAACCGCATGGTTCGTGACGTTGTGTAACAGCCCTCCGTGGGGAGCGGGCTGAGCCAGGGGGTGCTGCTGGCTTACCCCCTCTCACGAGGGGTGGGGAGCACTTGCCCAGTTCATCATAAACTGGCCACTGATCTTTACTCCTACTGGGGGCGGGGGGTGGCCGTGGCTGAAGGGGAACCGAGGCACTCATGCATCAATGGACGACCACCATTTATCCCACCAACACCTGTCTTTAACACACACAGCACAGACAGATCCCATGTGCCACGCAGCGTGAAAGCAGACAGCGCCCAGGACTGCTCTTCTGAGCTATTCCATTTACAAGTTCCAGAACACACGACGAGGAGAGGAACCAGAGTTAACCTCAAGGTCGGTGTGTTAACCTCAGAGCCGGCGGTGGCTTGGCTTTGAGGGAGCCGGCGAGGGTACCCACCTTGAGTGCCCCTGACACTGGTGTGAGTGCTCCCGTCACCTGCTGACCTCATACCTCATTTAGCTTCGTGACGACAGCCTAGTACGCTTCGTCTGGTTTAGTTCTGACAACCAAGGGTCACCAGTCTAACTGTGGTTTCCTTCCAGATCTCAGAGACCAAGGGGCAAGCCCACACTGGATTTCCCAGTCCACCCCATGAAGTATGGAGGGCTCGAGACAGGACAGCCAGCTGGCGCCAGTCAGATCCACTCTCGGAGGCCCCGGAGCCCCCTTCTAAGCCATTTCTGACCTGCGAAGCCCACCACTGCCGTTTGAAAGGCATTTTCCAACAGAAAAGAAGATGGTGATGATCCTCTTGTGAAAGTCTTAGGGGAAACAGGAAGTAAAATCAGGAGGCTGAGGTTGCCAATGACTGGTTAGGTCATGAAAATTCTCTATGTGGCCTTGGAGGGACAGGCACTGGCCAGGGATTCACTGCGACCCATCTTGTCCCAGCCACTGAGCTAAGCCCCTGCAGATGCCACCTCGTTTCCACCCAGGCCGGGACTCCCTCAGGGCTGTCATTCCATTTCACAGGTAAGGAAACGGAGGCCACAGGTGATGCAGCCTGCTGTGGTCACACGGCCACAGACGCCCTCCGTGTGCCAACTCCAGGTCTCTCCCCCTGAGCCCCGGGCCCCTCGGCTGCCCCTGCGCTCACTGCTCCTGAGGCTGCTGTGGCCAGGGCCGCCTGAATGTAACACGGAGACGATGTGGTCAGTCCTCCTAGAGAGAACAGCGCTGCTTCTCCACAGGCCGCCGACACGTGTGGGACGCTCAGAGCCTTCAGGGGCCAGGCAGCAGCTGCCCTGCAGAGTGGCCGCCCGTCTCCCCGCCTCTGTCATCCTCAGAAGCTGGCAGCCTTACAAAGACTTAAAGGAGCAAGCAGGGACCGGACACAGCACTCGGACTGCCCGCTTTGGGACACCATGAGCCCCTGTTCCAACTTTGGGGAGGGCAGTGTTCTGTGCACTGGTCCCCAGGGATCTGCTTCTTGGTTGACCAGCAAGCCCTCTTCTCTCTGGCCCTCCTGGTACTCAATGCCCACAGCAGTCTTACACCTGCCAGACAGAGGAGCTGGGGGCAGCTGTGGGGACCTCAGCACCCCGGGAGGTGAGCAGTGACCAAGGTGCGTGAGGGCACAGGGCCTCAGTGGGCGGCTGCCCCTCCCGCTGCCCCGGCAGCTCTCAGCTCTGGGCTCCTAGCACTAGACGCGTTTTCCCCCAGGGGAAGAAGGGCAGGGCAGAGAGGGAGAGGGAAAGACACAAGTCAGAACACCCGGAAATGAGAAGAGCAACAGAGGGCGAGAGCAAGGGGAGCTGTTAAAGACACAGGGAGAGGCGGAGGAGGCGGTGGAAGGCCGAGGGAGGAAGAGAGGAAGAGGAAGGAGTTAAGCCAATGGCTGTGCAGCAGCAGCAGGCAGCACCTGCCCACCCCCACCCCCTCCAATCAAAAGTTCGCTGGGTCCAGGATGGTGGCAGCCTCTCGGGACTCTGGGAAAGCTCAACTTCACATCTGGTTTTGTTTTTCCACATCTGCAACCCAGGCTTGGCCCGCGAGCTTCCTCTCAACCCACGGAGACTGGATCACGCCTGGTGCATGACCCAAGGCCGGCCAGTGAGGCCTCGTTCCAGGACCTTCCCCAGAGCTATGAGAAGGAGGAGCTGGGGAAAAAGCCTGACCGGCCAGAGACGTCCTTACAGGGAGATCAGCGTGCGAATGGGGCCAGCACGCAGGGAAGTGGAACAAAAGACAGAGCCTGCTCTCCTGGATCCACCTGTGCCAGGACACCGGAATCTGCGGGCGCGTGAGCTGATTCCCCCCCCCCTTTTTTTTTTTTGACAGGGAGAGTGGACAGTGAGAGAGACAGAGAGAAAGGTCTTCCTTTTGCTGTTGGTTCACCCTCCAATGGCGCCGCGGCTGGCACTGATCCAAAGGCAGGAGCCAGGTGCTTCTCCTGGTCACCCATTGGGTGCAGGGCCCAAGCACTTGGGCCATCCTCCACTGCACTCCCAGGCCACAGCAGAGAGCTGGCCTGGAAGAGGGGCAACCGGGACAGAATCCGGTGCCCCGACCGGGACTAGAACCTGGTGTGCTGGTGCCGCAGGTGGGGGATTAGCCTGTTGAGACTCGGTGCCAGCTGCTGATTCCCTTCTGTGCCAGGGCTGATGGGAGCTGGGGTTCTGCCTTTAGCAACCGAAATCAGCCTACTCGCCCGGCCTCCCAGCAGCCTCACTGCGGCCCCTCATGGTGGCCAACAGTGAAACCAACAGCTAAGTACGAGCGCTGTGAAGCCATGGTGTGTAGCAAGAGTAAACGCAACACAGGGAGAGAGCAGCGCCACGCTCGGGCCACAGGGCGCCCAGCGACGTCAGGGCCCCTTCCTCCGGGAAAATGCGGAAACACGCATTCTGCAACCCATGAAAATGGAGGCAGGCGTGATCCACCTGGGTGTGAGAGGGCTCCTTCCTGCTGCTTTGATGAGGACTGACAGCACGCTCCCGCACCCCGGCGGGCAGCACGGGCACGCTGCCTGCTGGAGGCGCTGGCCCTGGGCCCACGGTGGCCAGATCGCTGCTCCACGCAGGCTACCTGCCCCAGCGACTAGCTCAGCTCTCCCTGCTGCATCTAGAGGGCCAGAGGACCCCGGTGGGTCCCTCAGAGCACAGGCGGCCTCCCCCCTCTCGCCTCGTTTCTGGGGCTCCGTCATCAGGGAGCCCCTGCCTGGGCCCCACCTGCAGCCTGGCCTGCTCGCCCTGCACCACGGGCAGCTCCACCAGGCCCCATGTCCGCTTCCTCACGTGCCTCAGGCTCCAGCACAGGCCTGGTGCCATGCAGAGCCACGTGGAGAGGAGATGGAGGGGCAGAGGTGGCTTCCTCGCTAGGACCCCTGCCCCTGGGGTCTGCCCCTGGGCCACGCAGGGCACACAGGGCGACCATGCGGGCCGCGTGCGGGGCGCACCGTGCACAGTGCTCTGTGCCAGGCCGAGGCTCCTCTGCAGGAGGCTGCGTTCTCGCTGGAGCCCCGCAGGGGGCTCTGGGGCCCAGCCCCTGGGGTAAGGCTGGCATGGGCCGGCACAAGAGGTCCCCCGGCACACACCCGGCCCACGACCGCTGCTCGCTCACCTTCGTCACTGGTGTGCGGCTCGGTGCCGTTGTCATGGTCAACTTCGTCGATGGTGCCTGGCTCGCTGTGCGGGCTGTCACTGCAGGGGACACACGCAGGGGTCAGCTGAGGGCTCCGGACCCTCACCCGGCCCGCACCTTCCCCCGTCCACCAGCCCCGCCCTGCAGCTCTTCCACCGCGTGGCCTTGGGGGGGGGTCTTCCCAGCCAGGAGACCCCAACCCCACGCCCTGCCCGAGCTCCCCTCCTCGGGTCTCCTTGGTGACAGCTGTGAAAGCTCAAGGTGGTTTCAGTAGGTCCCCAGAGTCGCCGAGCGGGAAACGCAATCCCTAAGGCATCGGTGTTACCAGGCGGGGCCTGGTGAGAAACGCATTCGTGCTCAGAAAGGCGAGTCTGGGCCCCGCTCGCTCTCCCACTCGCTCTCGCCCTCCGGCCTCCCACTGTGGGCCGATGAGCACCAAGGCCCCGGCCGGGGTGAGCGCCACGCTCTCGGACTGCCCGCCTGCGGGAGTCAAACACGTTTCAGCTCCTTGTCGATGCCCCATCTCAGGGATTCTGGGTCAGCAGCAGGAAACGGATGGATGTGGCCAAACCCTGACCTCTATCCCCAGACAGACCACGGGGCAGAACACGGGAACAGCCATGGGTTCCCTCACCCCGCCTGACCCCCTCATCTTACAGCCGAGGGCCACAGCTGTGAGGTGACGGACGCTCATGAGGGCAATTGTGTGGGGCCATGTTGAGAGCCCCGGTGAGCCCAGGGCACAGGTGTGGCCTTGCACCAGTGCTAGGCATGGCCACCGAGGGACCCAGGTCAGCCACGTTGACTTGCTAAGGTGTGGCATGGTTTCCCTGGGCGCCTCCCCCTCCTCCCACCCCGCCCCCCAGGCTTCACAAGCTCCCTGAGGCCACAGCTCATTCCCACAGGCAGTCGGTCGGGTTTCCTACTGTGCGAGGGATGCTGTGATGGGTGAGGAAGACGAGGTCCCTGCCCACGTGCCTCAGACATTCTAGCAACAGAGGTGAGAAAAGCAGCCCAAGTCAATAGCCGGGAGGAAAACGCCTGCAAGCTGAGATAGTCTTAGAGAGAAAAGAAATGGCCAGAGACAAGAATGGTTGAGGTGACCTTCATTGTCTGGGAGGGCTTCTTGGAGGAGGTGGCTTTTACAAATGTCTTTAAAAGGGAGAAGGGCTTCAGCATGGAAACCTGCATAAGGTTCAGACTTGGCAGAAAGGCTTCCAAGACAGCTCCTAACCTGGCTCATCATGTGGCCTGTGCAGGCTCCACCCTCACCCTGCCCTGGTCATGCTGCACTCTGTTCAGTTCACCCAACGCTCTAGGCCTAGAACATTCTTTGCCCACCCCTCACTGGGCTGGCTGACATCGATCCCCAGGATAAACTCGGCCTGGACTTCCTGCAGACCAGCGCAGGGAGCCCTGTTTCTGGAACATTCTACCCCTGCTTCCTCAGAGCTCCCCGCACCTGGCTGATCCTACCAGGGTTACGTCCCTGCCTTCCTGCCCCGACCCGGCACACACCAGACACTTGGCGACCATCTGCCGGGGGGATGACGTCCACTGTGCCGAGACCCCTAGTCAGATCTCCCTTTCCAGCTTTGAACCCCTCCTTCCAAACTACTGTGGGGAAGCCAATGAGCTTAGAAAAGTACAGGTGTTGCCAAGTGCACCAGGATCTGGGCCCGGCCCAGGACTACTTATAAAAGGGTACGTTCACAGGCTCATGGGAAACAGCATTAAAAGATACATCTATTTTGGTGCGAAATCCACGCACACAAGTGGTTTTCAAAAACTTCCTGAAAAATGCGTATCATGAAAAAAACTATGCATGGATTTCAATTTCTTTTTTTTCTACCAAAAATAAGCTTATCTCTCAACTTAATTTCCCACAGACTTGCTGAAGTCCCTTCGTGTATACTGAGGCTAAGATAGAGAACTGGTAACGGTGGGAGACGAGGCGCAAAAGGCTTCGCCTTGTCCGGAAGTGGCGCTCACTGGCCGCAGGTGCAGCTGGGACAGACTCCCGCCCGCGGCCTGCAAGGGGTGGGAGCTGTGAGGAGCTGTCACGCAGCCCCGCACAGGGACACCCAGGCAGCGGGAGCCCCTCCCTTGCAGGAAGCACGGTCCAGGTACGCCCGGAGAGGGCAAGCAAGCCTGCAGCCCAGGGACGCTCTGCTCACACCTGGCCGGCAACACCGCAGTCGCCTACGCGGACAGCTGCGTGCTGGCGCGACATCAGGAAAGAAGAGGTCTCCCACGGCGGGCACGGGGCTTCCCATCTTCACCACGTTTCTAAATTTTTCCTGTCTTCACACGGTAAGGTCTTAGTATGGGGAAGGCAGTCAGCCCTGATTCTGAAAACGTTCTAGAATATTCTCCCTAAGACTCTGGGCAGTTAGCAATACACAGAGGCGCCCCCTAGTGATTGCTGATCTCAAAGAACTGAGCTCGCTTGATGTGGAAAACAGAACTGCTAGGTGGGAAGGGACAAGGGTGGGACACGTCATCGCCCCTCCCCTGCCTCCTAAGAAAGGCTGCCCTCCACCCCCCGCCAGTTCTGGCCTTCTGACTCGTCCCCACCGTGCTCATGACCGCAGCCCCAGCCCCAACAGCAAACCCAACTCTTGGGCTGTGTTGGGACACTCAGGAAGGGGCAGCTCCCTTTCTGCTGAAGACATGCAGATACGGGGTCACAGATCTGCAGCTGCTGGGGGCCTCCTGTGCCCGGCACGGGAGGGGCTGTCAAAGCGGGCAGGCAGCAGGACCAGGTCCTGAGGATCGCAGCTGAGTCCCTGGTCCAGCTATACCTGAAGCTGTCTCCCCAGACTGCTGAACCAAGCACCCCAGGAAAGCACCACTTGGCTCAAACCAGCGCCCTGTAACTCAGCCAGCGGAGGCTGACGCACCCACGCCTCCCACAAGGCTGACGCACCCACGCCTCCCACAAGGCTGACGCACCCACGCCTCCCACAAAGCTGCTGTGGAGCCCTGGCGAGAAAACGCAGGTGGAAGGGAGACTGAGCGCAGCAGGAGCACACAGGCTTCCTCCTGGGGCCGGGGCGTCTTACCAGTAATCCTCCCCTCCAGCCATGCACTTCTCGTACACGGGGCCCTCCAGCTCCCGGGGGCTGGGGAAGATGGCTTCGTGATGGATGATGATGGTTTTGATGACTTCGTTGACGTGGGCCTGGCAAGACACGGGGTCCTGCCCATCTGGGATGTGCATGAGGGTGGGCCCGAAGCAGATGGCCAGGTTGTAGGGATCCATCATGTTCTCGTCGCTGTACTGGGAGAGGCTGGGAGAGAAGGCACGCACAGGTCATCTGGGAGAGGCAAATCCTCCCTCCGGGTTTCTTTTTTGGGGGGGCTCTACTCAGATCCAAGAAGGTTCCAGGTTCTGCTGAAAACATTAGAGTACCTGGGGCCTGTGTGGTGGTACAGTGGTTTAGGCCGCCCACCGCCTGCAATGCCGGCATCCCCGTATCAGAGCACCAGTTCGAGTCCCGGCTTCTCCACTTCCTATCCACTCCCTGCTAATGTGCCTGGGATAGCAGTGGAAGATGGCCGAAGTGCTGGAGCCCCTGCCACCCACATGGGAGACCAGCATGGAGTTCCAGACTCCTGGTTTCAGACTGACCCAGTCCTGGCCGTTGTGGCCATCTGGGGAGTCAATCAGCGGATGGACGGCCTCTTTCTCTCTCTGCCTTTCAAATAAATTTTTAATTTTTTTAAAAAAAGCATAGTACTTGCAAAAGCCCCAGGACACCCCGGTGGTGCCCGCACCCTGGCACTCACTGGTTGAGGAAGGCGAAGAGGTATCTCATGACCACGATGACGGCGCGGGGCAGGGTGACGAGGATCTGCTGGATCTGATGCACCCTCTCGGCTGGGGTCTCCAGTTCTGGAACAGAGAGGGGCTTTTCAGGGGCCGTCTACCCTCAGAGAGCAAGGAGCTGCCCACTCACCGGCCCCGCCTCCCACATACCTCTGGGACCACCTGGATCTGGGGAGCCAGCTCTACTCTCAGCTGGCAGCCAGATCAGGGAGGGATCCAGGCCTGGCCAATCAGAGCCTCACATCCCTGGCCACAGGGAGGGGTGGGGTGTGGCCTAAACAGAACCAATCAGAGTCCATCCTTGGAATTTAGGGCTGGAGGAACCAGCAGAGAGGCACCTTGGACGTGGTTGGAGGGAAGCAGCCGGGGGCTACCAGGAGGGAGGTCCTGCCTGAGAGACTGCAGCACAGAGATGGAGTAGAGACAGGCTCCTACCAATGCTGTGTGAGAGTCTGAGACCAGCCGGGCCTAAAAGCATCTGGGTACAGACCCAGCCCATTGAAGTGGAGTTTCTGTCACCTGTCACCCACAGGTGCTGGCAAGCTCAGCGGGGGACCATGTGTCATTAACCCCCTTTCAACAGGAGCTACAGCACTGTCCAGGAAGTGCACGCCCAACACACAACCACCTCTCAAGCCAAGGGCTGGCCTGAAACCCTGGCAGATGCCTCTCAGCTCAGCCCTGGGGTGTTTGCCAGAGGCCCGGGCAGCAAACGGGCAAGCTGGGAAGGTGACGCCAGGGACAGCAGCCGTGGGGCTCTGAGCTGACCTCCCACGCCACGGCGACTTCTCTCCCAGACGGGGCTTCCCCCCGCGGCCCCGCTGCCCACCTCCACGCTCCGTGGGTTTGTCCCTTTGGAACACAGCCGTTCCCCCTCTCTCTTCTGCATCCCAGGCCCTCACGAGGAGGCTGCGGCCTCGTCTCCCAGCGGCTGCCCCTTCCCGGAGTCCCGGAGCTTCGCATCGCAGACGGGGTGACATGGACAGCCCGTGGGCACCTGGAAGTCTGCGGGGCTCTCTCTAGGGCTGGCACAGGGGCTGCAGGGCACTATTGCCATTTGGTATCCAGGGTCCCAAATGTGTGGGAAACACAAGCCGTTGCTCTACCTTCAATTCCAGCAGCGCCCCACTGGGGCACCCGGGGTTTGGAGGCCTCACCCACTGTACCTCCCTGCCATACACAAAGGACTTCCCCTCCAGCTCTCCTTCCTGGCCTGGCTCTAGGAAGCCTTGCCCCAGCCACCCCAGCATCTGAGGCTCCTCCATGCACACCAGCTCCACCGCCCTCACCTCCAGGCCCCGATCCCAGCTCGGCTGGCATGTACCAGCAGTGTTTTTCTCAAATGCGCTTACTGTACACGGAAACTGTGTCTCTCTGCAAACGAGAAACCAGAATCCTCTGTCAGGATTACGAGGAGTCAGAAAAGCCGGCACAAGGGCAGTGACGCCGGGTGACCAGGGGGTACCTGTCACCTCCAGAGCCGGGCCTGACACCCTGCGAGGGCCTCATTTCCAGCAAGCTGGTTCGCGGACGACGCTGGGGCATGCTCTCACTCCCCTGAGGAATACTTACTAATGGTAGATATCAAGTCTTGAAACCTTTCCTTAGGAAAGAGTGGGTTTTCCAGTCCTCGGAAATACAGTTTTAAGACACCGGCGACCGAGTTGATATCTCGCTCATTTTGGTCGTCCACGAGGGGGTCTTCACCTGCAGGGAGGCAAACCAGGGGTCTCAGGGCGGGAAGGAGGCGGAGGGCGGGCTGAACTGGAGGGAGGGTGCCGCGGGCAGCCTCCTTCGTGGGTAAGTACCCCTTAGGTGGGCGGCCGGCCTGGTGGTCAAGGCTCCTACACGGAGCGCCTGGGTTTGCCCCTGACTCCAGGTTCCTGCCTAGGCACACTCCGGGAGGCAGTGGTGATGGTTCCTGCCACCCACTGGGAGTCCTGGACTGCATGCCTGCCTCCTGTGGCAGGCATTTGGGGGGGGAGAGAACCAGTGGATGAGAGCTATCTGCCTCTTTCCTTATGTCTCAAATAAGTATTTTTAAAAAGTTCTCCGGCAACTTATTAGAAAATGCCCAAAGACACAGAACAGTTGTAAAAGTAACCCCTAGTTACACTCATCTTTCTGAATTGATGTTTTCAAAGCTCAGGAGGCTTTGCAGGCGTTGGCACGGCGCTGCTGCTCCCAAGAGCAGAGTTCTCACGTGACGACGTGACTGTCCCGAACACTATCAACAACCATCCCCAAACAACCTCTCAGATCCAGCCCACACTCAAACACCCCCAGCTGCCACAAGACAGCTTTTCTAGAACTTTCTCGAGAGCTAAGAGTTAGGCAGTGTTCACGCGACTCACTCTGTGCCTGTGAGTCTTTTCGTCCTCTGGAGGTCACAGAGACCCTGCTATGTCTGTGTGCTGGTTTGTTGTCTTTAACACGGACTTCCTGGACAGGGCAGGCCATGTGCCGTGTGGATGGCCCCACGTTCTGTGGCCGTCTGACTGCTTCCTCATGATTACAGTCAGGAGAAACGTCTTTTTGTGACAGGAATACTACACGTGCAATGCTGTGGGTACACAACCGTGTCCCACCAGGAGGACAGGAGTTTGGTCCCCGGGTCAGGTCCCCTGGTGGCCTCCAGGTCTCTACATTTAAAGGTATTTTCTCAGGGTGGGCATTCGGCCCAGCAGTTAAGACACTGGTTGGGACGCTCACATCCCGTATCACAGTACCTGCCCTTCAGTCCTGGCTCTGCTCCCAACTCCAGCTTCTTGCAAACACACAGCCTGGGAGGTGATGATTCAAAGACCTGGGTCCCTTGCACTCACATGGGAGGCCTGAATTGAACGCCTGGGGCTCCTGGCTTTGGCCTGGCCCTGTCCAGGCTGTTGCAGGTATTTGCAGAGTAAATGAAGCGATGGGAGATCTCTCCCTCTCTCCCTCTCTCCCTCTCCCCTTCTCTCCCTCTCTCCCTCTCCCCTTCTCTCCCTCTCTCCCTCTCTCCCTCTCTCTCTCTCTCTCTCTCCCTGCCTCTCAAATAAATAAAATAAATTTTTGACATTTTCCCCTTTGTGAGAAGTGAGTGGTCGGACATGATACTCAGAGAACCAAGGTGCTCAGACTGTGGGCCCAGAACTGTGTTCCTCGGGGTTCAGCCATGGTTTCAGAATCTAGTAATAACTTCTGCTCAATTTCAAGAACCCTTCCTTCCCCGCTCCCTCCCGAATCTGAATCCTTCAGCACTCCTAATCTGAAATCCTAAATGCTCCAAAACCTCAAAGTTTTTGAGTTCCAACACAATACCACAAAAGGAAAATTTCACACCTCACGTGTGGGGTCACAGTCAAAATACAGAAGTACCAAAAATACTGTAAAAAACGACCTTCAGGCTGTGAATACAAGGCATACATGAAACAGACAAATGTCATGCTTTGACTTGGGTTCTGTCTCTGAGATATTTTATGCACACACACAGATATGCATACTCACATATGTACACAATATATACAAATATTCCAAATCCCCAACACTCACTTCCGGGAGTAAGCATTTCAGATCAGGAGTACTCAACGTGCAGGTGAGTGGGGGGAGGCGTGGGGCGGGCAGGGCTCCCTCCTCAGCCCCCTCTCTGTCCTAGCAGCAGCCTAAGGAACTAGAGATGGCGCTTCCTCTTACTGCCCCTTTGTCCCTGGGGACTCCACTGCCAGGCATGACTCCCATGTTGTTCATCTACAGGCGAGTGCACCGCCCGGGACGCCCACACCTGCCCATACACGCAGCCTGAGTCCTTGCCCTTCCTAGCCAAAGATGCTCAGTCCACCAACAGAGCTGCTCACACCCAGGCTCTCGGCAAGGCTGGCCAGCTGCGGCTCCAGGAGCGAGTGGATCTCCAGAGGCTGAGATGGGCAGGATGGGTGGCGGGAGGGGGAGCTTTTTCCAGGAGAAGAACGGGAGCTGAAACCCCAGGCAGGCTGGGAGAGTGCCACATTCACCTGTGTGAGCCGCCATCCTGGCGGGAGGCGCAAGCCTCACCGGACAGCCCCACCCACAGCTTACTCTGACCACGCCATGGGCATCACCTGCAGGGCAGGGCTGCCTTAAAGGGCCCAGGAAAACCTGGATATAGGCACCCATCAGCTGGGCAGTTCCCTGCAGCCAGAGGCCCAGCCATGTTTCTCAGCCCCAACAAGCTGTCCCAGAAAGTGCTGGTCACAGCCCTCTCCTGAGGCAGCAAGCAGACCTCAGACGGGTGGTGTCAGGCCCTCCTGGGGTATCAAACCCAAATCCTGCTGCAGCTGCTCCCTGCCCTGCACGAGACACCTTGCACCTCTGCCACCCTGCCTGTAGGGGGCACCACAGAGTTTTGTGGGGACCACAGTGGGAAGGAGGGCCTGGGAGGCAAGGGCGGGGCTCTCTAGGGTTTGGCCTGACACACTCCTGCCTCTCCAGGACCCTTTCTCCTTCCCGTATCCAAGCAGCGTGCTGAAGGTGTACAGTCAACAGTGGCAGAGGAATTCCCACGCAAAGCCTGGGTGGCTCATGTTGGAAGGAGAAGGCGGCAAGTTTAGGAACAGTAAGCGCTGAGTAGATTTCCGACACAGCCTGATCTTTCTGAGGTTTAAGGAGAAGAGAGCCATGCTCCTCCGAGAGCACCTTCCTGGGGGTCAGGGAGGGCTCCCAGAGCCCCTGAACGCGTGGCGAGGACGGCCACCCTGCGGGGCTCAGACCAGAAGGACTCTGAATGTAAAAGGAACAAAGGCTAAACACACACACACACACACACACACACACACACACACACACGTCGCGCTGGCTTGGAGAGAGAATCCAATCACAGGCTAGACCACGAGCGAGTGAAGAGCACGTAGGAGGAGTGACACTGAGCCAGGCCCAGGACCTGGCCACCTGGTCGCCAGGGGAATGCAGCAGGACAGCCGGGAAGAGGGGCACGCCAATCCCCCAGGGGTCAGCTGGGGGAGGAGCCAAACCCCAGACCCTCGGCTGGCAAACAGGAAGAACCAGAAAAGAGGAAGTGAGAGAGGGAGCACGAGCCAGCCTGGGGAGCAAGGACAGCGTTTTCCTAACAGAGCCCCACCAGCACCTGTTCTCTTAGAGGATGGCCTCCCGGTGGGCTCAGGTGGAGTAAAATGGGCAGGCAAGGAAAGGGATTCAACGCGGAGAGCGGGAAAGACAGCAAGGCCAGCTGTATCCAGGAGACAGTCTGCCCAGCTGGCTTAGCCTGAGACCATCCAGGGCTGTGAGGAGCAGAGGATCAGCCCTGCAAAGCAGCCGGGAAGGTGCAGGAGGCACTGACCTTACCCAGTCATGGTCCCGATGGACAGGAAGCAGAGGGGGCTGCCTGCTCTCCCATGGGCACCGACAGGCTGTGGAGGGGAGGGGAGTGGGACAGGGGCCGGCTGGCTGGGCCGGAGGCACCGTGCTGGGAGGCGTCCCCTTAGAACCCAGGCGGCCAACCCAGGGCTCTGCGTACCGGGTGAGCCCAAGGGAAACAGCGAAGGCTGCAGACCATGGTTCCATGCACACACAAAGAACCTGGAGGGCCTGGACAGGGCTGCCAGTGACGTCACAGGGCTCCGGGCAGCGCTGGACAACACTTGCGTCCCAGATGCTGATGCAGAGATGCACCGCTGGCCCCTGGGCTCGGGAAGTCCTTTCTGCATCCTCCCCTCTCCCCACAGCCCCACCCCATGCCCAGACTCTTCACGCCGTCCCGGCTTCGCTGCTCCTTCTCCCTCTGTTCCAGCTGGGCTTGCAGCTGCCACGCTGCCCAGGGCTTCCTCCACCGAGGCCCCACCTGTCTGCACTGTGCGCTGACTAACGGGCTCCCTGAGCAGCAGTGGCCGAGCCTTTCGAGGCCACAACCCTGTACCTAGAGGGCCCCATGTGTGCTTGTGGAGAGAACGCACAAACACCTGGGCAGACATCGGGGCGGGGAGATCCTGCGCATGGCAGGCTCCGAGCACCCAGGATCCCGGAGCAGAAGCAGAAGCTGCCCCTGGCCCCCGCGAGAACACTGAGCACCACATCCTGGCATTTCTCGCTCTGTACACCCGCTACCGACACGTGCACGGGGGCTGCAGGCTGCCTCCTGGGGCTAGACCTCAGCCTGGCACTGAGACGGCGGGTCAGAAGGCAGCTCTTCCAGGCAAAGAGGGAGTGAGCCTGCAGAGAGAGGAGCTGCAGCTCGCCGGAGGGGACAGTGTCTGCCTGGCACAGCTGGCAGAGGCCGGCACAGAACACGATGAACAGAACAGCGAGGACCTGGGTGTGTCACTGGGCCTCTCCGACCAAACTCCCAATCAGACACATTCAGAGAATAAGGCAGCGGATCTGAGCTGAGAGCGCTGGACGGGGGAAGCACTTTCCAAAAGGGTGCAAAGCAGAATGTAGAGGTGTTGTGTGGGTATTGGGTGAGGGTGCTGTGTGGGTACCTGGGTGCAAAGATATTATATGGGGTACTCGGGTGCACAGGTCCTGTGTGGGTACCTGGATGCAGAGGTGCTGTGTGGGATACCTTTGTGTAGAGATGCCTGGTGCCCGGGCACTGTGTGGGGTAACTGAATGTAGACTTACTGTGTGGGGTACCTGGGTGCCCAGACATTGTGTGGGGTAACTGAATGTAGACTTACTGTGTGGGGTACCTGGGTGCCCAGGCATTGTGTGGGGTAACTGAATGTAGACTTACTGTGTGGGGTACCTGGGTGCCCAGGCATTGTGTGGGGTAACTGAATGTAGGCTTATTGTAGGGGGTACCTGGGTGCCCAGGCATTGTGTGGGGTACCTGGATGAGCACGTATTTAGTGGGGCACCTCAATACAGAGGTGATGTGTGGAGTGCCTGGATGCAGTTATTGTGTGGGGTACCCAGATGCAGAGTTATTGTGTGGGGTACCTGGGTGCAGAGGTGCTGTGTAGGGTACCTGGATAAGCACTGTTTAGTGGGGTACCTCAATAAAAGGTGCTGTGTAGGGTACCTGGATAAGCACTGTTTAGTGGGGTACCTTAATACAGAGCTGCTTTGTGGGGTACCTGATGCAGAGGTACTGTGTGGGTAGCTGGGTGCACAAGTATTGTGTGGGTACTATTTAGTGGGGTACCTGGGTGCAGAGGTGCTGTGTAGACTACCTGGTGCAGAGGTACTGTGTGGGTACCTGGATACAGAGGTATTGTGTGGAGTACCTAGTACCCAGGTATTGTGTGGGGTACCTGGGCAGAGAGGTGCTGTGTGGAGTGCCTTGCTGAAGGGGTGCTGTGTGGAGTACCTGGGTACAGAGGTGCTGTGTGGGTACCTGGGTGCACAGGTGCTGTGTGGATACCTGGGTACAGAGGTGCTGTGTGGGTACCTGAATGAAGAGGTGCTGTGTGGAGTAACCAGGTACAGAGGTGCTGTGTGGGGTACCTTGATGCAGATATACTATGTGGGTACCTGGGTACAGAGGTGCTGTGTGGGGTACCTTGATGCAGAGGTACTGTGTGGGTACCTGGGTACAGAGGTGCTGTGTGGGTACCTGGGTACAGAGGTACTGTGTGGAGTACCTGGGTGCAGATATACTGTGTGGGTACCTGGGTGCAGAGGTGCTATGTGGAGTGCCTGGGTACAGTGGTACTGTGTGGGTACCTGAATGAAGAGGTGCTATATGGAGTACCCGGGTACAGAGGTGCTGTGTGGGTACCTGGGTACAGAGGTGCTATGTGGAGTACCTTGATGCAGATATATTGTGTGGGTACCTGGGTACAGAGGTACTGTGTGGAGTACCCGGGTACAGAGGTGCTGTGTGGGTACCTGGGTGCACAGGTGCTGTGTGGAGTGCCCGGGTACAGTGGTACTGTGTGGGTACCTGAATGAAGAGGTGCTGTGTGGAGTACCCAGGTACAGAGGTGCTGTATGGGTAGCTGGGTGCACAGGTGCTGTGTGGAGTATCCAGGTACAGAGGTACTGTGTGGAATGCCTGGGTACAGTGGTACTGTGTGGGTACCTGAATGAAGAGGTGCTGTGTGGAGTACCCGGGTACAGAGGTGCCTTTCAAGATGCCTGAAGATTGATTAACTTTTCCCTCTCCTGGGACAAGGGTGTGGACTTGCGAATTCCAAGTTCTGTCCTAGATCCAAGGAGTATGACTTGGTGATGGTCTCCCTTATGGAATTATGTGGATTTTGAATTCCAAGCCAGCAGGGAGGTAAAAAGTGGGTTGCCTAGCAGAGGCCTGGGAAGAACAGAGCCCTTCCTCCCTGGCGGGTCCCTTCTCGGCATGGAGACCCCCAGCGGCCTGCAGCCCCCGTTAGAGACAGGGAGACCACACCAAGTGCCGTCAGTGTCCTGCTTTAGGCTGTGTCACTCCTAGTGAGCGCCGACACCCTGGCTCAAGCCAGCTGAGCACTGGAGAACCTCTCTGGGGGTGGGGGTAGGTGTTCTCCCCTCAGTGAGCAGCTTGGCAAAACCCTGCATAAAGAGGAACACACATGGGTCCCGAGAGCCACTCAGCGTCTTCTAAGTGCTTTCAGCGTTCCTGAAGCGCAGCACCCATTACAGACTCACATAAAAGTTCCAGAGTTCTTCACGAGGTTCTGCCCCCAGCAGCCCCTGCACCGTCCCCTGGAGACAGTCACCCCCCACCAGCTTACCCTGGAGGGTAACCAAGTTCACCCAAAGGCTTGGTTCTGGATTTCCAATATTTTTTTTCTGACTCTGGAATACGTGCCTACAGACAATGAGATAATCTTGGGGCGGGGACCCAAGAGTAAGCATGAAATCCACATTAGCTCCATGTGCACCTCTACACACCGCTCAGTAGTTGCTTGTGTCTCGATGGTGATGCCTCAGATGACGCCAGGTGTGGGAACCCCATTTGGGGCATCACAGCTGTGCTCACAGAGTTGCAGGTTTGGGAGCATCTGGGATTTCAGATTTGGGGATTAGGGAGGCTCCACCTGGGGTAGTGCATGAACAGTGAACAGGGGGCTCTCCGGAGGGAACCGAAAGGTCACAGCGTGTGCCAACTGTGGTGGAATGAACACACCAGCCACAGCTGAAGCTCCAGGGGCACAGCCTCAGCACATGAATTCGGGAAGAGAAGCTGCACGTCACCTCCAGAGAACCAGAACGAGCCAGCACCTGCAGCCTGGCGGCTCCCTGGCGGCTCCCAGACACTCAGAACACCCATCCCGGCTTCCCCAGCCACCAGCCCACACAGCCCTCTGCACCCACCTCTCTCAAAGGAATTTTTGATATCGTTGACCTCGACCTGAGACCCAGGCACTCTGAAGATGCCCTGCTGCTGCAGTCCTAAAAAAGAAACAAATAAAGGGACATTGAGCACCAGGAGACCAGGGCTCTGCAGGACCCTGGGGGATGCAGAAACTCCGCCCACGGCCTGGCTCCGCCCCCATCCCCACAGTCACTGCCGTCAAAGTCTCTCCTGGCAGAAGCCCAGATGTGATCTTGCAGCAAGTACAACTGTTCATGCGACAGGCCTGCCTGCTTCCCGTGGCTGAGGTCTCCCATCCAGGCCCACGGAAGGGCCACGGGGAAGGGTGCCGGCACCACACACCCCCTCCCCTGCACTGACTCAGCCTGGATGGCACGTTCCGGCCCGGAGTACACGAGCGCGGGGAGACGGAGTTACCAGCCAGGAACGGCCTCCTGTACATCTTCCAAGGCCATAGGCCGGACCCTGAAGCTACAGCGACCACTCAACAGTAACCTACACACAGGACCAGAGCAATTCAAGGGCCTGCCTAGTCCTAAGTGGGAATTAATGGGGAGCCTGACCCTTTTGCTGTCTGTATTTGCATAGAAAACAAGTCTCTGCTGTCTAATTTAGGAAGTTCTTAGTCTTAAAATGCCAGCTTTACTGGGAGCTTGGCTGGCACACAGGATACGCTCAACAAACCCTTGTCCCCCTTGCTAGTTGCATTTCTGCCTCCCAAGTCCCGGCTCCTGACCCCAGCCATGCTGACTCTCCTGCCCGCATCAGGCCTCTCCACGCACGGCTGGCTGCGACTGCTCCCTGGGGGCCACCTCGCTGTCTCAGCCAAAACAGCCACCCCTTTTAATCAGTTCCATGGCATTACCACTAGCTGAAAATCCAGTTTTCTTTCACTTTTTTGCTTGTTGATGTCCTTGGCCTTTTAGCTGGGAATACCAGTGACCGCGGGCAGGTGTCACACCTGTCTGGTTCACACCTGTATTCCCACTGTCTACCACAGTGCCTGCTACGTACCTGGTATGTACATTTTTAGAGGGATGAGTAATGGATAGGTGCAGCTTCCATGCTTCTGGCATTACGGCTAACAAATCCAAGACGCTGTCTCTTGCCTGGAGCTTACAGTGTAGGCATGGTAACTGACTTACTGACCCATGGCACTGGGAGCACATGGCACAGGGCTCTGGGGCTGGGTGGCAGCGAGAGAGGGGCTGCCACAGTTCTCCTCCCCCACCTTTCCTGGCCCCTGGATCTGCCCATCTGGTCCTGGGTTCTCCAGACACTACTTATGCACACACACACACACACCCCAACGAGACTGAGACAATGACTGTCCCATGGGTGTTTGCTCCCAGAAACAGGGAATGGGCAGGAGACCTCCAAGGTGAGGGAGCATCTCACTGGCCTCCCCCCCGCCCCGACCCAGCAGCCCACAGCGGCTCTCAGGGAGCTGAGCATAGCAGCCCGAGGCCGTGCTTACCATATAAGTTGATGTATCGGATGCAGCTCTCCACTACGAGCGGTATGGCTTGTCCTGACTCCTTAGGGGGAGAAAACGGTGAGTTGTGTTGGGTTTGGCAGCCATCATGGGAAAAACACACTGAAACACAGACTAGGAACTCAAGCCAGAGTGTTAGTGCCACCAGATTAGTAGGAAAACAAGCAAGAAACTGCTCATCCTCAAGTCTCCACAGATGGTTACGAGAGAAAGGCTGGAGTTCTGTGCAGAGAAAGCCATAGCTGTGGTCACTTTAAGGAAATGCTCTGTCTGCTTCCCCAGCGGGCTGGAACAGGCTCCCAGCAGGCTTTGACGGGCACCTCTAGGGCAGGGAACGGGGCTGTGCCCAGCGAGCACAGGGGCCCGAGTGCAGCCTCTGCAGGGGTCTCTGCCTCCCACCGCTCAGGGACAGATAGGCAGCATCAAGGCCTCCCCATCGCTGTGGGCCCCGATACCAGGGTTCAGCAGAACACACTGCGGTGGAAGCAGGGCTGGTCCCCACGGGGACTTGGAGCTCCACCAAGGGGGCGCCAGTTCTACTCACAATGTCACAAGCTAAGCACCCAGATGCTTGCTGTGCTGGACAACAAGGAAAAGTTCTAGAAGCAGTGACTGCCAGCCACTGGCCATCAAGTGGCCAAGCTTAGAACACAAGGCTAAGAGGCAATTCTACACAGGTGCACCGGGGGTGTGGACCACTGCCCAGGATGGCCCACGGCCACAAACGCCAGGCAGGGGGCCCTATTCTTTTGGATTCCAGAACCGGTGACCTGTCTGTTATTCCAGGTCACTTAAGGAGCACAAAACAGGAAGTGGCTTTCTTAAGAAGGGGCTGTGTTATGTGACTAGCCTGGGCGGGGGGAGCTGGGGGAGAGGAGGCCACGGGGCAGGGGTGATGCACTCCCGCAGAGGCAGCAGGGCTTTGTGTGCGTCTCGGCTCCTGCACACCCCACCTGCGAATTCTGCCCTCACTTCACTGTGGCCGGGGCCAGGGCAGGAAGAGGGACCCCTAGGTGGCTGGCAAGCCGGGCTCCGGCCCGTTCCGGCGGGCAGAGCTAAAGGCAGGGGGCTGGTGGGCCTGTCCAGTAAATACCTGGTTCCTGGTTCGAGCATTTCTTCTTCCTCTGATAACAAAAAATAAGCAGGCAGCAGAGCGGGAGAAAAAGAAAAGATTACGCAGGAGGAAGATCGGTTAGAGCACACGGGTCCTGCAAAGTCCGTGAATGCGGACATGCAATGGCAACCAGAGATCGGGGGAGGGCGCCCAGAGCCACCCGCGGGGACCCCCACCCCAGCCTCAGGCTCGCAGGACTTCCGGGAGCCGCCCCGGCCAGCCGTCCCTGCGGCTGCAGCCTCATGCCAGTGCACCAGTTGACATAGGGGCCTCTTTCGGTCTTCAACCCCGGGAGGAGCTGCGTGGGCTGGGACCCTTGCCATCCCTGCATCTGGCTTCTCCTGAACCCAAGGGAGTCCTCCTAGGGCCCTGCTGGGTGTACGGAGCTGCCCACGGGGACAGGAAACACCCCTGCTTCTCCCAAAACACTGCCCCTGCATTCAGGTTGGCAAACCTCGTCCTCGCACCAAGGTCAACTTCATCAAGTTCACATGTACCACGCACCCCCTGAGTCCTGAGCAGGGTCCAACAAGACCCCAACTGGTGGCAAATTCCTTCCCAACACCCTGAGGGTCTGTTCCCAGGGTCACCAGCTCTGCTCTGCTCGGCACCCTTGCCCCTCCCACTGGCAACAAGCAGCATGAGAAGGTCCCTGTGATCTCAGCAGAACCAGGGCCCATGCTGTCACTCAAGGCCCCGGGGACAACCTCTTTCAGGAACATATCTGTCCTTTCCTGCTGTGTGAGTGTGCATGTATGAGTGTGTGTGTGTGTGTATGAGTGTGTGGTGAGTGTATGCCTGCATGTGCTAGAGTGTGAGTGTTTATGAGTATGTGTATATGTGACTACATGAGTGTGATAGTGACTGAGTGTGCAAGTGTGAGCATAAGTGTGTATGTGTGACTGTGAGAATGTATGCAAGTATGTGAGTGTGTATGTATGTGACTGAGTGTATGAGTGTGTGTGTGTATGACTGTGTGCCTGCATGTGCTCGCCTGTGTGAGAATGTATGTATACAGGGTGACTGTGTATACAGCATGACTGAGTGTGTGACTGTGTGGCTGTTAGTATGTGTGTGTATAACTGTGACTGTGTGAGTGCATGTGTCACTGTGAGTGTATCTGTGTGTCATCATGTGTACATGTGTGTATACATGAGTATGTGTGTCACTGTGTATGAGTGTACTGGTGTGTCACCATGTATAGTGTGTGTGTGTATCTTTTGAGTGTATGTGTCACTGTGTGTGAGTGTGACTCACTGTATATATGTGTCACAGTGTATATGTGAGTGTACCTGTGTCACTGTGTATCTGTGTGTCATTGCATGTGAATGTGTTAGTGTGCATATGAGTGTGAGTTACTGTGTATATATGTGTGTGTTGCAGTGTATGTCTGAGTGTTCCTGTGTCACTGTGTATCTGTATCAAAGTGTGTTACTGTATGAGTGTGTGTGTCACTGTATGTGTCTGTGTGTCACTGTGTATATGAGTGTGTCAGAGGATGTGTATGTGTCACTCCGAGTAGGTATGTGTCATTCTGTATCTGTGTGCATCTATGTAAATGTATGTGAGTCACCGTTTATGTGTGTGTCACTGTGTATGATGGTGTGTGATTATTTGTATCACTGTGTATGTGTATCTCTAGGAGTACGTCACTGTGCATGTGTATCTGTGTGTTTGTGTGTCACTGTGTGTGTACCTGTGAGTGTGTCACTGTATGTGTATCTGTCACTGTGAGTTGTGTATATGTGTGAATCTATGTGAATGTGTCACTGTATGTGAATGTGTATGTATGTATATCTGTGTTCATTCCTGTACCTCCTGTGAGTATGGGTATGTCATGGTGCATGTGTGTGTATCTGTGTATAAGTATGTGAGTGTGTCACTGTGTGTATGTGTGTGTCATGGCATGTATCTGTGTCACTGTGTGTGCATCTGTGTCACTATGAGTTGTGTATGTATGTATCTGTGAGTGTGTTACTGTATGTATATCTGTGTGTCTCACTGTGAGTTATATGTGTGTGTACCTGTGTGTCACCATGAGTATATGTGTATATCTGTGTATCTGTATCACTGTGAGTTGTGTATGTGTATCTGTGTGTCATTGTGTATATATGTGTATGTGTCTGTGTGTGAATGTATCACTGAGTTTTGTATGTATCTGTGTGTCACTGTATCTGAGTGTGTCACTGAGTTATATATGTGTACCTGTGTGTGTCACCATGAGTTTATGTGTGTATCTGTGTGTCGCTATATCTGTGTCACTGAGTTATATATGTGTACCCTGTGTGTCACCATGAGTTTATGTGTGTATCTGTGTGTCACTGTATCTGTGTCACTGAGTTATATATGTGTACCGTGTGTGTCACCATGAGTTTATGTGTGTATCTGTGTGTCACTGTATCTGAGTGTGTCACTGAGTTATATATGTGTACTGTGTGTGTCACCATGAGTTTCTGTGTACATCTGTGTGTCACTGTATCTGTGTCACTGAGTTATATATGTGTACCCTGTGTGTCACCATGAGTTTATGTATCTGTGTGTCACTGTATCTGTGTCACTGAGTTATATATGTGTACCTGTGTGTGTCACCATGAGTTTATGTGTGTATCTGTGTGTCACTGTATCTGAGTGTGTCACTGAGTTATATATGTGTACTGTGTGTGTCACCATGAGTTTCTGTGTACATCTGTGTGTCACTGTATCTGTGTCACTGAGTTATATATGTGTACCCTGTGTGTCACCATGAGTTTATGTATCTGTGTGTCACTGTATCTGTGTCACTGAGTTATATATGTGTACCTGTGTGTGTCACCATGAGTTTATGTGTGTATCTGTGTGTTGCTGTATCTGTGTCACTGAGTTATATATGTGTACCGTGTGTGTCACCATGAGTTTCTGTGTACATCTGTGTGTGACTGGATGTATCTGTGTGTGTCACTGTGAACAGTGTATGTGTATCTGTGTGTCACTGTGTGTATATGTGTATGTATCTGTGTATGAGTGTACAGTGACCGTCCCAGACTCACATGTGGCTGCTGCCCCATCCCCTGTCACAGACCTAAGTGTAGACCCTCTCCTGGTCTCAGCGGGGGCCTCTGGCTTTGAATCTGACCCTGACATGAAAGTGGGGCCACATGCTTTTGGAGAGGAGAACTTAAAAAAAAAAAAAAACCAAGGACTTTAAAAGGGGCTCACTGGAGCAGAGTCCTAGACATGCATAAATGTAACCACAACATATTTATCCACCATCCTCCCATTCTTGTGGACAAGAGTCTCGTCACAGGTGTGGCAGCCTGCCGTGGGGGACACACCACGGGGTTCCACAGATACCTGGAACTGCGGATAGCTCCTGAGCCTACACACACCTGTGATGAGGTGTGATTTATAAATGAGGCACAGTAAGAGATGAACAACCACCAACAGTGAAATGGGACAACTAGACCAATGTCCTACAATAAAAGTCGTAAGGGGCAGGCGCTGTGGCATAGCAGGTAAAGCCGCCACCTGCAGTGCCGGCATCCCATATGGGCGCCAGTTCAAACCCAGCTGCTCCACTTCCCATCCAGCTCTCTGCTGTGGCCTGGGAAAGCAGTGGAAGATGGCCCAAGTCTTTGGGCCCCTGCACCCATGTGGGAGACCCAGAGGAAGCTCCTGGCTCTGGATTGGCACAGCTGCAGCCCATTGCATCTATCTGGGGAGTGAACCATCAGATGGAAGACCTCTCTCTCTCTTTCTACCTCTACCTCTCTGTAACTCTTTCAAATAAATAAATAAATAAATATTTAAAAAAAAAGTCATAGAAAACACTTTCTGGAGTGCTCTGTCTCACATGTTCAGGCCACGGCTGCCACAGGTAACTGAGGCCACGGGAAGCTAAGCCATGGATAAGGGAGACTGCTGTAGACTAGCAAACTAACCTCTGTTCTCGGGAGTGGTGGGGTGAGCTGGGATCACACCTCCCTCTTGCTCCCCGCAAGCCGCTAGCGCTGCAGAGTCAGACTGCGCCTGCCACAGCCCGCCTGCACCAGCTCCCAGGACACATCCCCAGCAAGTTCGCTCAGATGCACTGGTTGCGTGCGACCCAAGGCCACTGTTCCAGCAACGCAGCCACTCCCAGCTGCTGGGGGCTGGCACATCCCTCTTGCATTCTGCACCTGCAGGGGTGTGGCAAAGCCGAGATGGAGCTCTCACTCCAAAGACCAGGGTGTCCATTCCCACCCAGAGTTCTGGTGCCATGGATGCAGGCCAGGTTAGGGGTTCCACAGAAGACTGGCCACAAGGCAGCTGTCTGCATGGGCAAAGAATGAGAATGAGAAGGTGGCTGCTGGGGTGGCCACCTTGGAGTTGGGACGTGTTAGCCAGGAGGAGTAAGGTTAATTCCTTACAGTCACACACTGTGGGACCTCTGCATGAAGAGAACGCTTCATCTCAGAGCTCCTCGTCTCAAGTCAGATGGGAGCTGACTGCTCCCAAGTATCCTGACTGCAAATGTGGAAAAGCAGAAGGCGTCCCTGTGCCCAAGCCCCCCTCCCGCCGCCTGCCCTCCGGGGGCTCCTCTTGGCCCAGCCCTCCCCGCCTTTCCTTCCCACTGCCCCACAGTGCAGCCCTTGGCACTCAGAGCAGGCACCTGCTTCTGGGGGACAGCCTAGCCAGCACCCACGCCAGCACCCACGCCACCCGACGCGTTCCACCTCCTGCATGGGAAATGTCCGCAGCTCCGCTCTGAGCTCCTCACGGGCGGAGCAGCCCCCGTCCCCTCTCAGCCATGGAGGCGGCCGCTAGGGCAAAGGGGAAGGACGGCACAGTACTGCAGGAGAGGACGCGGAGAGGCAGGCGACAGCTCTGGGCACAGCCCACCCTCCAGCGATGGCCCTGGACACCCCACACAGTTCCACACGCACTCAGGCCCCCTGTTCCTGGCCGTCCTCAACGCCTCATGCCCCTTAGGTCTTGCGATACAGCCCGTGCTGATCCCTGGCCCTGGGCCACCCCAACTTGGGCCCTACTCACTCTCCCACATCCCCCTGTCCCCACTCTCTCTCTCTCCCACAAGTCGGCCAACAGGCAGGGGCAGTCCTGGGACTCAGGTCGGCCGTCCCTGCCCACCCCAACGCCTGGGGCCAGTGCAAGTCCAGGCCCTCTCTGTCCTACAAGTCTGTGCTGCTCCCCGCTGAGGACAGAGGGTAGAGAGCTGGCACAGGGGCAGCTGCCACAACTTCACAACCGCCAGGAAGGCCCAACAGCCTTTCATCCTTAGAGGCAGGCAGGCTCTCAAACACAGAGACCACCCTGTGCGATCCCAGTGGCATGAAGAACACATCTCCCCTTCCTCCCCCGCCTGTGGCTCTGTGCAGCTCCAGCCTCAACTCCCCTGGCCCTTGGGTCTTGCGTCCAGGACAGCTTTGTCCTTGCAACCTCTGCACTGAAGCGAGGAGAGGAGAGAAACTCCCCTGGCTGCAGGGTCAAGGCTAGCCTAGAACACTACGGGGACAGCCTCACCTCTTCTCCCTGCTCCCAAACCACCCACCAGGAAATCGAGATGGGTGGAAGTCTCCTGCCCAGCAGCGGGGAGTTTCCTGTGCTGGTGCGACTTCCACTGCAAACACCCTCCCTCATACACAACACTGGTCCCTACCGGGGTTTGCTTTACTCTCAGCCACTCCCCTCTCGGGAGCCATGGATGGGAAGTAGGGGCCTGCACGTCTCTGCCTGGCCCTCAGTCAGCCTCTGTGGGCGTGACCTCCGCCTGGCAGCTCCAATCACTCCCTGAGCACCACAGAGGCACTTAGGGCAACCGGTCAGAGGCAAGGCAGCTCAGGTTAGGGGTCCTCACGGAAGCTGGCGTGGGCTGCAGCCGGAGACCGGCTCCACGGGGCGGCCGAGGGGACAATGGTGGAGGGAGGCTGCCATTACATCGGGCGCATTCGCGGACTCCGCGGCTCGCCAGCAAGTACCTTAATGAACGCTTCCATACTGCCGTTAAAGAGCTTATGGCTATACACTGAGAGAGGCCTAGGTCTCCTCGTTTTCTGTGGTTTGGGGGGCAGGCAGGGGGGCCTGGGGGAAAACGGAACAAAGGAATCAAGAAAGCAACCAATGTAAACGTGCCACGGGGGACGGTGCTCTCGCCACCCGCCACAGGGCACACAGATGCACATGGGAGCCCTGCCCCACCCGCTGGGTCCCAGGGCTCCCACTGAAGGCCTCGGGGGCCGAGAGTCACCCCCCTCCCCATGTCAAGCAGGAGAGACTTTCACATCACAAGTCGGGGGTGGGGGGAGCACTCGGAGGCTGTGCATCTGCAAAGCTGACCAGATGGAGCGGGATAAGGGCAGAGACATGGGACTGGGAGCCTGAGAAAGCAAGAGACTTGCCAACGCAATTGGGAAGGTCGCTGTTCTCAAACTGGTCACCACCTCTTGGCATGTCCAGCGCACTGGATTAACTTTATTTCCTGGCTTTATGGGTCTGGCAATTGCTATTCTCATTGCAGAGATGAAGAAGCTGATCCCAGGAGGGAGGCCACAGCTTCTCTGGGAGTCCCTGGTGACCCAGGATGGTGGCACTGTCCCTGCTCTCTAACCAAGTGCTTTCCAACCCACTGCCATGCGTGACGTCCTGTCTAACACTGCATGTGCTGCCCCATTTCACAGGGGCAGAAACTGAAGCCCAAACAGGACAAGTGGCAGAGCCAGGCCCCCAGCCAAGCCTCTCTGGCTCCAAGTCCAGGGTTGTTCTTACCCGGCCATGGAGCCTTAGGCAACTTTGTCTTTTCTGGTCAAGGACTCCTCTTCCCCATGAGCTCATGCCCTGGGGTCAGCCTGGAAGTGTCTTGCTTTGCTCTGAGCTCTCCATTCCCAGGGCTCCACTCTGGCCCACAAGGAGGGGAGCACACCACACACAGGTCACCCGGAGCAGGGAAACAGCCACGAACACGGACCCGTTTCCAGGGCCGCTCACCATGCACACCCCGGGCTGGCTGCTTTGCTCTCTTCACCACCCAAGTGGGCAGGACGGTGCTGCCTCCTTCTGGGGAAAGGGTCTTTCTGAGGTTCCAGGGAGGACCCCAGACCCAGAAGGGCAGCTCATTGCAACTGGCTTGGTCCAAAATTTGGAAAGCACAAACAATGGCCACACATGACAAACCAACACCTGGGCCCCAGGTCCAGATTGATTTCCTTGATGGGCAAGAAATGCCCTGGCTGTGCTACAGTAGAGATAAATGAGGTCCGTGGGCCTGCACCTGCTGGCTCCCTGGTGCCAGCCTCTCAGGAGCGCTGCTATCCAGAGAACTCTCACCCGCACCTCCCAGGAGTTTGAATACCGAGCAAACGCTGCCAACTCTAGGACTTGCATGGGCAAAGACACACTTGGATCCAAAGATCATGCTACCCAAACCACAGAACCAAAAGAACAGCACAAACCAAGAGTTTGGGAGGAAACAGCAGGCAAGATTATTTCAAGACCATCTTGGCTCCACGTCAATTTGGTTAGCTAAGTCCATGTCATTTCAGTTGCAAAATTATTGATTTTGGAAGGATGTGTGTACGTGGTGGTGGTGTTGGGGGGTTCTTACAATGGACCTGCTTTTGAATTTCCAAATGCAAACTCCAAGGAGAGTGCCAAAAAGGACACCAGGCCATCGGCTCTCAGTTTGGGGGTTAGGAATCACTCGTGGCTAGCAATAGGGTCGCCTCGTTTTCCTTCTGTTTCAGGTTCTGTTTCTGGATGTTTCCAGATCATTCCCTTGTCTCACACTGCGTTAAATGACTTTACGCACAAGGCGAATGAGTCTATGGAGGTGAAGAACAGTGCCCAGCGTCACACAGACACAATGTGACCGCGGCCGGAGGCAGAATTCAGCTCTGCCTTCTCAAGGCTCCGATGTGGGCATGAAATGGAGAAAGTGCTTTTATCACAGAACGCCCAATAGCAGCACTGACTCATCTACTGAACTGCCATGGCCAGCGAGAGTGGAGACGTTCGGAGCTGGTGTTGGACATCCAGAACCAAAAACAATCAGAGGTACCTGACTGGAGAGTTTCCTTGGAAGAAGCACCAAGATGTTTTTTGGTTTGTTCTTTTTTTTGTTTTAGATTTTATAAAGTAGAATCAAGGGAAAATAGGATGTGTTTTCCCATTTTTCCTGCCCAATCCAGAGAGCCAAGAACTGCTGGAATCACTGCCGGGCTTCTGTTTTAGCGGGGTCCCCTGCGCGTGGACCGGACTCTGACAAGGAAACGTAGCTATCCCGAGAGCGCACGATACCAAACGACAGCGACTTACTGAAGAGCTGGGCGGGGCACAAGGTGGGGAGCAGGGGGACAGCTCAGCCACGGGAAGTGGGGCAGCCTAAGCCTTCCATCTCTTCTGCTGCTCAGTTGCAGAGCAAAAAGGAAAGAGAGAGAGAGAGGGAGAGGGAGAGGGAAAGAGGCAGGGAAAACAGGAACAGACAAAGCCACAGAGAGGAAGAAAGAGAAGCCAGAGACCAATGTCCCCTTTCTGCCTTTCAGAAATTAACAGATGGCAACACAGGAGTTGGCCTCAACATCATTCTGTGACGGAAAGGATGTGATTAAAACTGTCCCTTGACGGCCCCATAGCTGTGGTTGCCAACATCCCAAGAGGTGGCAGTGTTACACTTCAACGGCAGCCCGAGTCCTGGAGGCTGTGTGTGGGTGTGCACGTCTCACATCTGTTCAGGCAAAGTCTCAACGACTTTATTTCGAACCCAGACCACAGGAGCAAGTCGACCTGGGTTGGGAAAGCCAGACTCGAGTTTGGGTCACAATAATCAAACTTCACGTCTGCATCTTGCTTTGTCCTGCGCAGTGCACTATGGCATCCGCACAGGCTAAATGATGGGGCAATTCTGTATCTGTGCTCTAGTAGGGTAAGGATCTCACGTGTGAGAAAAACACCACATACTGCAGCCTGTGTGCAAAAGCTGGCCCATCTGTCCAGGGTCAATGAAGCGGCTGGGGGCACCTGCCCAAATGACCGTCCAGAGGGACAGTGCCCACGGGCAGGAGTTTGATCCACAGCCATGAGGCACCGCCACAGGGCCCTCCAGATTCACTCTGAATCCACTGCCAAGTTGGCAACCAGCTCGCCAGGTTCAACCACGTTTCTGGAGGTCAGCGAACCTGCAGCTTATTCACAAAGTCGCCGGTGACTTTGGCCAGGAGACGGCATGAACCCAGGGAGGTGTGCAGCTTCCTGCAGGGAATGTCCCAGTGGGGGTGGTGGTGGTGGGGAGATGACCTTGGATTTCCCAGGCCCTGAGTCAAAGGGGTTACGGGCCGCAACACGTCAGAACAACAACAAGCATTCCGCAGCTTCCTCCAAGGGAACGGCCAAGGCCATCTTCCCCCACACAAGCTCTGGGCATCGGTTAGATCACCCCCATGCGTCTCGCTGCTCAGAGGCTTTGGTATAAAACGTGGCTTCCGTTGGTCTGGGACTATGACAGCTTCCTCTTGCCAGAAAAATCACAGTAATAACGGGTTTGCTTCTAGAAGGCTCTGTCGCCCCATGTGCTGGGAGGCCCTCACCTGGTGTGAGTCACCCTCACTTCCCAAGTTGTTGGGCGAAACTTGCGGAGTGCCTTGGCCTCCCTCTGCTGGGCCTCCCAAACTGCAAACCCCAGAGCTCCCCGAGCCTCTGCCCCACCTACTTCTCCCCCACCCCCACCAGGGCAGTGGCTTCCCAGGGTTCTGGGCCACCAGCAAGGCCTGCGGTGAATACAACAATGGGTCCAGAAAGTAAGGCCAAAAGCAGCTCTTGACTGCCATACGACTGTCGAGAGCAGGTGTCTGGGCCGCACACACAGATCTGTGGGACCTGAAAGGGGACAGGCTTTTGGGCACCCCTGACAGGGGCGGGGCTGCGAAGGGATCTGCGCTCTGGCGGGAAAGGCAGCCGCCAGCCGTCTGCGGCCGAGGGGAAGGAGTTCTCTGGCTCTGGTCTGCTCAGGGACAGCGCGAGGGCAGCGTGGAACAGGCTGGAGAGGAAGCACAACTTGCTGGGGTGTGGCTCCCCCCAGGAGCCCACTGAGAGCCCGCCAGGCCAAGCTGGGGAGCAGCAGCAGTGGCCAGGCTTTCCGTGTGCGCATGCTTGGCCCCTTGCTCAAGCGTGGGCAGCAAACAGCAGCCCACAACCCGCCCGGGGCTGCTGGCTCTCATGCCTGCCCCCGCTGTTGTGCCGCTGCCCCACACCGCTAACACAGGATGCCTCACTGCCACCCAGCAGCCCCGAAAGCGCCCCAGAGCCAGCACAAAGGGCCAAGGCCCCACCATCCAGTGCTGCAAGCAGCAAAGCTGGCCAAAGAGCGGCTGTGTCTTCCTCAGCACCTCGCACCCCCGCGGGACACCGGTGAGGGGCCGTCCCAGCTTCCCTGGGCGCAGCCCGCCCCATCCCACTCCCGACCATGGGCAGCAGGTCAAAGAGAACTCCCGCTCTCACCTGGTGGTGCCACACTCTGCTCTCTCCCCTGCAAAGGAAAGCAAATGTGGAGGTTACGCTGGGGTGTTCACAGTTTTAACCAGAAAAGTTCATCTTTTCCTGAAACAAAAGATCCCCAGTGCTCACAGATGGTCTCTTCCGTTTCTGCCTGCCCCCCCACCCCCACCCGCCAGCAGACAACCAGGAATGCACCCTCCGTCTCCAGAGGGGGCCCTCAGGAAGACATTGCTCGTGACTGCGATTCCTGGGCACGTGTGCTTGTGCCCCTGGCTGCTTTCAGGCGACACGATGCTCTCGAGGTTCATCCACGAGCGTGGGTAGCACTGCACTGCAAGAAGAGCCCAGGTTGGCCTTACCCACTCCACACCAACCGCCCTCTTGGCATCTCAGACCTTCCACGCCCCAAGCCCACGCCTGCCAGAGTCTTCAATCTGTCAGTCAACGGGCCGCCACCCACCCACGTGCTCAAGCCGGAAGCCCAAGCATTCTCCTGGAGACCTCTCCTCCTTCACGTGTGTCCCTTTGTTGCCATGCTGTCCCTTAGCCCAGGACACGCGTGCTTTCTCTGTAACTGTTTTCTGGTCCCATGGCAATCCATCCTGACTCAGCAGCCCAAGAACTCTGAAGCTGCCACTCACATCACGTCTTCTCCCTCGCTCAGGAGCCTCCTGCTGCACCCGAAATAAAACCCGAACCTCTTCCTCTGCTCTGTGTGCCCTGGGCAGCGGTCCCAGTGAGCCACAGAGACTCCGTCCACCTGGCGTGCTGTCCTGCACACCCTGCTCCGGCCCAGACACTTCTGCAAGGCCCTCAAACAGCCCTCAGAGCTTCTGTCTGGGCTGCCTTCTCCTCGCCTTCTGGGTCTCAGCTTAAACGTTGAGAAAAGCTTCCTCCATGTAAAGTTGACACCTGTCGCTTTATATCCCATTTCTCTTTACATCCTGTCCATGTATGGCGTAGCAATGCCCTCTTATTCACGGTTCGTTTCATCACAGGGCCATTGTCAGTGGACCCCCACTGTGTGTGACCAGAGAAGGAATTGCGTCCACTCCTAAGGCTGCTGTACCACCAACCTCTTAGTGTCTGGCACGAAGCATGCGCTCAGCAAACACTTGTTGAAGAAGTGGATAAGAGAGCAACCCCACACCTCCAAGGACCTTGGGGCTGAATGATGATAACAGTCTCTACATGGGTCGTGCAATCGTGCAAGAAGCAGTACAGTGCAGGTGCACACCGCTGTCAGCCCTGCGGCCACAGGTGAGCAGACTTGGCGGGCACTTTGCCCAGCCAGCCCCTGCTCAGGGCAGCATTCAGATTCCATCCCAGGCAGTCTGACTCAACTCTGGGCTTTGCCGGGAGAATCCCGTTCCTGACAGACACGGGGTGAGGGAGAACAGGTGTCCCTCAGACCCAGCAACTCCCTACAGGTGCCACTTGGCTTCTAACAACACCACCTCTTTCTGGGCTTTGGGGATGCCACACCCTAAAAGATGGCAAGGACTCAATGTGTGGCTCTCAAAGGGAAGACATTAAACAGTGTCTTTCCCTCCCCTGTCAAAACCGGCCTGCGAATGCAGAGGTCCAGGTCCCAGTGCTAATCCTCACATCAGCTCTGAGCTTTGTCAAGTCACTGCCTTTCTCTGAGCCTCACTGTCCCCGGCTTAAACTCTTCACCATCATCTCGTGCACTACAGTCTCCCATCCCTGGGTTTCTCTCACACGCACCAGCAGCGTGTGAGCCCTGGTCATCGTGACAGCCACAGAGCACCCTCCCCGCCCTGCTGCCCAGCTGAGAGCCACACCAGCGCTGTCCAGCAGCAATGCATGGCAAGCGGCAATTTCTAGCAGCCCAGACACGAGACAGAAAGACAAACTGTAGGAAAAAGGGTGCAAAATATAAGGAAAAGGGTGCAGATTGGCGCTTCCTCACACGGGGCATGAAATGTAAGGAAAAGGACACAGAGCAGAGAGGAGACAAGGTACGAACCCACAGCCAGGCTGAATTTATTCCAAAATAAACCCTGAGAGGTGGGTGCAACTACACACAGACCAAACTTGTAGCAGAGGGACTAGACCCAGGGGGCTGGGCTTTTGTACATCCTAGGTGGGCTGGGTGGGGGTGGGGGCAGTAGGCAGAGGTGAACTTCTCCATACAGGTTGTTCAAGCTTTTCACACCTGGAGAAAAATACAGGTGGGTGGGGAACAACACCGGATGTGAGACTGAACGGGTCTCCTGAAAGAAGGCAGGGATGACAAGAACCTAAAACGGCTGAGGCTTCCGTCCTTGTTCCATCACAAACAGGAGAGGTTGACTTCTCTAAAGCATTTAACCAAATATGCCATAAGTATGTACTGTGGCAACATAAAAATTCTTTTCTGTGAGTCCTAACTTGGAAGTCTGAAGCACATTCTTTTTTTTTTTTTTTAATTTTATTTATTTATTTGAGAGAGAGAGTTACAGACAGTGAGAGGGAGAGACAGAGAGAAAGGCTTTCTGTCCACTGGTTCACTCCCCAGGTGACCACAACAGCCGGAGCTGCGCTGACCTGAAGCCAGGAGCCAGGTGCTTCCTCCTGGTCTCCCATGTGGATACAGGGGGCCCAAGGACTTGGGCCATCCTCCACTGCCCTCCCGGGCCACAGCAGAGAGCTGGATTGGAAGAGGAGCTGCTGGGACTAGAACCAGCGCCCATATGGGATGCTGGCGCCACAGGCGGAGGATTAACCTACTGCACCATGTCGCCGGCCCCTGAAGCTCATTCTGCACCTCTCAATCTACACCTCAAGATCAAGGGCAGAGGGGCCTGCACCGTGGCCCCTATACGCCGCGGCCCCTATGCTGCTGTGCCAGCATCCCATAGGGGTGCCGGGTCTGGTCCTGGCTGCTCCTCTTCCAATCCAGCTCTCTGCTGTGGCCTAGGAAAGAGTAGAAGATGGCCCAAGTGCTTGGGCCCCTGCACCTGCATGGTAGACTGGGAAGAAACACCTGGCTCCTGGCTTCAGATCAGTGCAGCTCCGGCCGTTGCGGCCATTTGGGGAGTGAATCAACAGAGGGAAGACATTTCTATCTCTCCCTCTTACTGTCTGTAACTCTACCTCTCAAATAAATTAATAAAAATTAAAAAAAAAAAAAAAGATCAAGGGCAGGTGTGTGGCTGGCAGCCTGCGTCCCACCCAGCACAGCTCTGGATTCCTGACTCCCACCCAGCGTCGACACTCAGAGACTTCTAAAACAAAGACCAGAGCGTGTGTCTTCTTTTCAAGGCCAGAGTGGGTGCTGCAGGGCCCAGCAAAGCACCGTCTTTGCATAGATGGATAGACGGCAGGCGGGGAGAGCAGGGAGGAATGGAAGACCTGAGGCCATGGAGTGGACATGAGAACAACTCAACACACACATGCCCCGGGAAAGGACCTAACATACTGCCCTGCAGCTCGACGCCCACCACCAGCGCCTTCAGGGATACAGCGCCTCAACGTCCAACCAAATCAGAACTCAGAGAGCCCTGTCCTCACCCTCCGAGGCCTGCTGGCCCTTAAGGGCCTATTTTCCAGCTGGTGTCCCAGTCATTTTCTGGAAGGTCAGCCCTTCTTGGCCCTGGCAGCTTCTCTGCCCTGTGACTGGCTGTTAAACCTTGTCCTGAAAAGGCTGTGTCCCATCAGCTCCACAGACGGGGCATGCTTGTCCTGGGGGGCCCTCAGTGAACCGGAAGCCCACCCACACTTGGAGTGCATGCCGTGGGGCTTACAGAATGCCCAGACCCCAGAGTAACAGAAAGGGCTTGGACCTAAGGCCCAGAGCTGAGGGCAATCCAAGAATTCTCTGGCCAGGACAATGAAACAGGAGGAGCCTAGGGCAGACGCGAGCATGGGCTCTCGGTCCCAGGATGTGCCAGGGACGTCCTTTGTAACAAGGGCTGCCGATCTGCAAGGCACCTGACTTGTTCTGACTTGTGTCTGGGATCCCTCAAAACCCCACTTCTGAGAGAAGGTGGCCTGAAAGGGCTGCTGTCTCCTCAAGGCTGGGTCTCTCTGAGCCACGCTGTTGAGAGAAACCTTAGAGAAAGGGAGGCACTAGACACTCATTTCACTAAAAAGAAGAAAAATTTCCACTGGCCCCACATTTCTCAACTGTTTTCAAAATTTCCTGATCGTTGCTCCCAATATCAAGCAGCCCCAGATGACATGGAAGGGGGTACCCCTCCCTCTCCTTCTCTGAGAACTGTGCTCTACTGAACGGAGGGCCAAGCACACGGAGAGACTGACAGTCAGAAGGGCCAATCAGCTCGCATGCTGGGCACCCTTCATCTTGCTTGATTTCTCCACACCCCCTTCACCCAGTGTGAAAGAACTGCATCAACTTAAGTCAGTGAAACGTCTCCTGCTGCAAATTCTGCACACTCATCCCGTGCCCCAGGGATGCCACCAGTCACCCTCATGTCTCTCCCAGTCAGACTTCCGGTGGTTTCTTAGGAATTAATGAATGTTATGCATGAACCCTCTTGGACTTGGGGCTTCCGTGGTGTGACACAAGGTGACACTCCAGCCTGCTCTGTCCTGACAGGTGGGCCCAATACCAGGCCTCCAAGTGCCTGGGCCCCTCAGCAGCTCAAGGGGCCACAGTAGGACGCAGTGGGGAACAGGGTTCCACCCCAGTTCATGCTGACGTCTATGTCGTTACTGCTTATGGCTGAAGGACTCAGCGCAGAGACCTGACACAACTGTGGGGTCCAGGAGCGCCGACACTCGAAATCCCTGGCGGTGTGTTTGGAAGGTGGTTCCCGTGAGGCGGTGGGTGTGACTGCCCTGCAGGCCCGGCTGCTCTCACTGTTTCCTGGCTTCTGTGGGGTCCTCCCTCTGCACATGTCCCCCAGCCTCATCAGACACCAGACTAACGGGGCTGCCCGATCTTGGACTGGGAACCTCCCAACCCGTGAGTTGCCCTAAGCCTCCCTCTCTGCTGGCCAGCCCCCTCAGGGACCACAGAGCGGAAAGCCTTGCGAATACACGCACACACTCACCCTTGCCCAGCATCTGTGCACACACTCACCCTCGCCCAGCGTCTGTGTACACACTCACCCTCGCCCAGTGTCTGCTTGAGTAGGGCCTGCACACACTCACCCTCACCCAGCGTCTGTGCACACACTCACCCTCGCCCAGCGTCTGCTTGAGTAGGGCGTGCTTGGCCTGGAGCTTGGTGATGAGGTTACTGCCGTTCACATACTCCTTAAATTTCTGCAAGACACAAGGCACAGAGGAGTCACAGATGGCAGGGCCATGGGCTGGAGCCTCTGCCAGCCGCTTGCAACAACCGACCTCTGGGTCACAGAGGTCACGGGGGTGAGGTCACCATCAAGACACCTGGAGTGGGGAAGGAGAGGCCTCAGGGCCTGCTCTGCACCACTGTCCAGCCTCGCAGGGCCCTGGGCCTTCAGGTCAGGATTTGGGAGCACAAAGGAAGCCAGGAGGTTGTGAACGAGGCTTTTGTCAGGCAGCGGCTCGGGCAGAACCAAAGCCAAGGCTTTCTTAGTCATCAGAGCTCCCCTGTGCCTCCAGGCCAAGGGCAACAGAGATGGGAATGTCACAAGGCTGTGCAGGTGAGGCCAGCGCCTTGTGGGACGTGTCAGGAGCCAGAGAAAGTGTGGCTCACGCCAGGCCCTGCTCCGGGGGAAGAGGGTGCTGGCTGTGTCTGAATGAAGATCGCAGGCTGTCGGGGAGACAAGGACAGCACAGGAGAACGGTCTGCCCACCGTCTCGCCGAGGTCAGCCGTGCACCGTGACCAGCTGTGGGCGGCCTTCCAGGGCCAGGCGTTGCCAAGCTCTGTGCACTCTGGAGCAGAAACATCCAGAACAGAAACACAGGCCCCGCCCCACAGCCGGTCTGGGCCTCCGCCACACCTGCCCAGGTCCCAGCTTCCCGCATCACCCCCGCTGTGGCGCTCTGGGACACGTCCCTGCTGAGCCCCGCGGCGAGAGGCGGTGGGATCCGCAACCGTCTCATTTCTGGCACGGGTGAGGAGCTTCAGATTTCACTGGATCCCATCGTTCTGGGGGTGAGGTGGGGAAAGAAACGATAAAGATAGCTGTGGACGAAAACCAAGCAGGAACAGTGGTCTGGGAGCCCGGGGACACCTCGCTGCAGAGGGGAGCCCTGAGCAGAGGCCCAGGGTGGGCAGCAAGTGGCCGTGCTGTGTGTGAAGGAGCTGTGTGAGCACACGGAACGGCGACCGCTGAAGCTCTGAGAACAAGGTCAAGGGCAGACACAGCTGCCCCACACCCGCTGCTCCCTTGTCAGACAGCTCTGCTCTGCTGCCCCAGCCGGTGCTCTCCGTACGGGCGGGCAAGTGAGCCCGCAGGCTCCAGGTAGACCTCGTCACTCTGCAAGAGGGCTGAAGGCGGCGGTGCTGGAGAGGCAATGCTGGGTAGCCTCACGTGGGCCCATCTTGAGGGCGTGGGGCCAGGGACGACTGGGATGGAGGGGGCTGGGTGTCCACTTCTCCATGGTCATTCTTGACCTTCAGATGTCAGCAGTCACTCCACTCTGTATCTGCAGAGGACTCCACGCTTCGCAAACACACAGGCTGGGGTCTCCCCAAGTCTTGGCCTGTAGATGGGGAGACAGCGTCTCTCCTCCTCTACCCAGATGGACATGAGCCTGGGGCTGCAGCACTCACTGTGGGGCCTTGGGTGAGGGCTGCACATGTCTGTGTCCACTGAGACTGAACCCACAAGACCCCAGCCTTTGTAACCAGCAGGGGGTGCTGTCACAACACAGATTCCATCCCGGGATCCTCATCTCCCTTCTGGGGAGGACCAGAGACCCAGCAGTACTCAAGGTCCCAGAGCCCCACCTCAGGGAACGTGGCAGCTGAGAGCCTGAGTTTGGAACAACACCCCAGGGGCTGGTGTCGAGGCACAGTGGGTGAAGCCGCCACCTGCAATGCCAGCATTCTGTATGGACACTGTTTCATCTCTTGGCTGCTCCACTTCCCATCCAGCTCCCTGCTAAAGTCCCTGGGAAAGCAATGGAGGGTGACCCAAGTGCTTGGGCCTCTGCACTCACGTGGGAAACCTAGAAGAAGCTCCTGGTGTCCTGGCTTTGGCCTGGTTCAGCCCTGGCTGTTGTGGACACATGGAGAGTGAACCAGTGGATGGAAGATTGCTTTCTCTCTCCCTCTCCCTCCCTCCCTCCCTCCCTCTTTCTCTCTCTCTCCCTCCCTTCCTCCCTCTGTAACTTTGCTTTTCAGATAAGTAAAATTTTAAAAAACCTTTTTAAAGAAGAAACAACATCGCAGATGACTCAGGGGCATGCCTGGCGTGGAGACCACTGACCCTGAGGCCCTCTGGGGAGGCGTCCACCTTCAGCTGTATCACGTGCTCCAGAATCCGCTGGATAAAGCAGGGCTGAGGGTCCGCAGGGACTGGGGGTGTCCTTCCTGGCTGCTCATGGGAGCTCAATCCCAATCGGCGACCCTGACTCGGGCCTCAGGTGCCATCTACAGGTGAGTGCCCAGTGCACCTAGGGCTCGTGGGCCCGGACACTGGCCTAGCTCTTCCAAGCTTCACCCATGCAGCCGACGGAAGAAAGAACGCAACCACCTTACACTGGCGTGTGCCTTAAAAGGAAAATTTTGTCCTAAAAACACCCCAAATACCACCACAACATGAAATCCTGAGGGGTGTCTGCCACCCAGGAGAGTAACCTGAGTACCGAGAATGCGACAGGCATTTGGTGCAGCAGTTAAGCCACTGCTTAGGGGCCTCCATCCCTATCAGAGTGCTAGCTTTAAGTCCCAGCTCCTCCCCTTCCAATTCAGCTTCCTCCTAATGCACCTGGAAGGCAGCAGGTGACAGTTCAAGTACTTGGGTCCCTGCCACCCTCCTGGGAGCCCCAGATGGGGCTCAGGGCTCCAGGCTTTGACCTGGCCCAGCCTGGCTGTTGCAGATGGGGTTCAGGGCTCCTGGCTTCGACTTGGCCCAGCCCTAGCTGTTGCAGACATTGGGGGAGAGTGAACCAGCAGTTGACAGATCTCTGTCTCTCTGCCTTTCAAAAAAATGAAAATAAATACATTTGAAAAGAGAGAGAGAGAGTGATGTAACATATTAGGGCCATTGATCCTGGACACTGGAGAGCTGTATTTGATTCTGTGCTTCTGCTACTCAAATCTCTCTGTCTTCACCGCCAAGGTGAACTAAGCCTGCTGCTAGCCCTCCCCCACACTCAGAGCCCCTCAACTCTGTGAACACAGGAGGCCCCCAGGGCGCACGGTGAGTGTCTGGATAGCACAGGATCCTTCACACACATCAGCTTTGCTTTAGTCCTTGACAAGGTCCAAGAGTGCTCTCAGAAGAAACAGTGTGGCTCAACTGTGGGTTTTCTTTTTTTTTTTTTTTTAAATCTATTATCAGAAATTACATATCAGTATTAGATATGGATTTTTTTTTCATTGATGGCATGTGATAGATTTTTTTAAAAACATTTAGTTATGGGGCCAGTGCTGTGGTGTAGTAGGCTAAGCCTCTGCCTGCAGCTCTGGCATCCCATATGGGCACCGGTTCGAGTCCCGGCTGCTACTCTTCTGATCCAGCTCTCTGTTAGGGCCTGGGAAAGCAGCAGAAGATGACCCAAGTGCTTGGGCCCCTGCACCCATGTAGGAGACCCGGAGGAAGCTCCTGGCTCCTGGCTTCGGATCGGCTCAGCTTTTGTCATTGCAGCCATTTGGGGAGTGAACCAACAGATGAAACACCTTTCTCTCTGTCTCTCTCTTCTCTCTATAACTCTACTTCTCAAATAAATAAATAAAATCTTTTTTAAAAAGATTTAGTTAGTAATTTGTTTGTTTGAAAGGCAGAATATCAAAGAGGAGAGAGAAGAGAAGGAGAAAGGTTGAGGTCTTGCATTTGCTGGTTCACTCCCCAAACGGCGTCAATGGCTGGGGCTGGACCAGGCTGAAGCCCGGAGCCAGGAATGCTATCCAGGTCTCCCACTTGGGTGGCAGGGGTCCAAGCACTGGGGCCGTCTTCTGCTGCTTTTTTAGATGCGTTAGCGGGAGCTGCATCGGAAGCAGAGCAGCTGTGTCTCAAACCAGCGTTCCCATCCAGGATGCTGGCATCAGAAGCCGCAGCTTGCCTCGCTGTGCCGAATGCTGTCCCCAGCAACTGCGGTTCTCAATGAGAGCTTTGGCAAGGCTATCACAAGATCAAGTTTGATGTGGGAATGACTGGACTTGTGAAGGGATTAAATGAGCGCCGTTCAGTCAACGGCACCACAGTTGCTTATTTTCAACAACTCCGTCTCCAGCCTTGGCCCTGGGACATTACTAGTTTTCTTGATCTGTGAACTTCAAGTTTGGAAGCCATGCCCTGAATCACAGAGGCCGCCCAATCGCTAAACAGGTGGAAGACTAGGTACCAAGTGTCTGGAACCACGCACGGAGCCCGGCATGAGGGAACCTGACTGCTGGAACATGAGCCCAACCCAGGACATCACCACTCAGTCTCTAGTACGGCTGCGCACAGGGAGGAGAGAGGAGCCGACATTAAGTTACCTTTAAAGTAGTTTCCCCAAAGGCACTTCAAAGGGTGGGTGGGAAATGGAATTAAAAGTTAAGTTTAGGGGTGGGTACTGGCCTGGCTCTATTCTCCCCATCCTCTCTCCAACCCTGTCCCATCTCAGAGCGTTTGGGTTCAATCCTGGCTCTAGCTCCTGACTTTACAGCTTCCTGCTAAGGCAAAGCCTGGGAGGCACAGGGGCGGCCCCAGGGAACGGGCTCCAGCCGCCCGGGTAGGAGACCTCAGCTGCATTCGCAGCCGTCAGCTTCAACTCTGCAGGCATCCGGGGACGCGGACGGAACCAGTGGATGTGAGCTCTCTGCTTGTCTGCCTCTCTGTCTCTCAAAACAAAGCTGAAGATAAAATCAAAGATACGTTTATTTTGGTGCAAAAAAACCTTTGAAGTCCACAGAGCTTTCTCATAATCCTTATTTTCCATGAAGCTTTTGATGATTCCACAGAGGCATGGATTTCAAATTTTTTTTGCACCAAAAAAAAAGTTATCTTATAATTACATTTTCCATGAATTTTTAAAAATAACGCTGTTGGGATGTTTACATACGCTCCCAGGGGGTGTGATCTTAGGATGTGAAGTGTTTAGCAGAGAAGGGGGTGCAATTCTGCTCTTCTCTGTGATCAGACTCCTGCAGGGAATCAATCCCTCCCTCCCTCCCTCTGTCTCCGTCCCTCTCTCCCTCTCTGCCTTTCCAATAAAAAAGAGAAGAAAAGAAAGCAGCATTTGCAAATGGAACGTGTTCACAGAGGTGGTCCTGGGCACTGAGGCTACTCATCCCCAAGCTCCCCAGGCAGGGCAGAGAGCACTGGTGTGTGTAGCCTGCAGAAACCACAACCCGGCCGGCCCCCCGCAGCCAGGGCACGGCTGTCATGTGGCAGCAGCTTCCTCTGGATCACCCCTGAGAACCGAGCCGACGTCAGCGGCCAGAAATCCTGGCGAGGGAGCTGTCGGAAGCTAAGGAGGATAAAGGAAAATGTGGTGCTATCCACGTCAGCCGCAACTCCAAGGGTCTGTTTGGGAGGGAGGGGCCGGGCTCTCAGCCCCGAGCACATTCCAAGGGGCCCGCGTGACTGCTGGGCAGGGACACAGCTGAGCAGATGCGGGGCTGAAGGGCCTGGACAACTCGAGCGCTCAACAGTCCACAGAGCCGTGCTGATCCAAAGCCAGGTCCTCTTTGCTTTGTCCCTTCCTGTCCTTGGCCAAATGGAAAGTGACTAATCTGAAGCTTCCACAAAGGGCTGGCAACCCCTGAGCAATTTTCTTGTGTTGTCAATGTCATTGTCTCCAAAGTGCATACCCCCAAATTTCACAGAATTCAACCCCAAACCCAAAGCATACTTTGAGGCTTGCTACTCATTCTTGTCTCACCTAACTGAATACAACTCTCTGTCTCTGTTTGTCTGTCTCTGTCTCTGTCTCTCTCTCTCTCTTTCTCTGGGTTGTTTTGTTCTCCCCAGAGCAGGAAAATTTCCGTAACTGCCAGCCAATGTCAATGCCATTGCTTCTCACTGGTAACTCACTCTCTGCATTTTGGAAAACCAAGCCACACTGGTCAAAGTGACCTCTGTGGTTGCACTGTCTCCTGTTTCCTGGGCCAGGACTCTGCAGACGGTGGGCTCTGGGTCGGGCGGCCACTCACCGTGAAGTAGAACACCTCGGTCTCCTGCTGGTTGGCCCTCCTCTTGGCGATGTTGATCTTACTCATGTAGGTCTCGGAGGCAGCCGACTTCACGGATTCTGTGGAGCGGCTGTGCTGGAAGGCGTCGGACACGTCGAAGTCCTCCACGGTCAGCATGTCCTGCAGGGTCTGCATGGTGGCGTCCAGGGTCTTCCTCACCTGGGGAGATGGCACACGGACACAGCTGTTGCTCTCCAGATGCCTGGGACACTCCAAAGTCCCTTCCTAACGGTGACTCGACCCCCACCTCTCCTTGCAGCCTCCAGGAGGTGGGCAGGACATACGCGGTCACAGATGGCCCCATTACACTGATACGTGCCAGGTGGGTCGAATCAAAGGCCATCTCATTGTCCTGCTTCGGCCAGACAGAACCCTGGACAATGCGGGGAAGAACTAGGTGCAAGCTTCCAGGTTTGCTTCTCTTGGCCTGATTCTGCAGCCCCAGATTGGCTCCTCCCCTGCATACGGTCAGTACCATGGAACCCTAAGTCCTCTTCCTTCAGAGGAGGGAGGGGCAGAGCCTGGCTGGAGTGGGCAGCACCCTCCCTCGGTGAACTTCCTGGGTACCATCCCTGGGGAGCTCTGTGAAGCTGGCAGAGGAGGCACCGGCTGCTCAGGTGGACTCGACCTCTCTCCTGCAGCCAGGTGGGACCACCCAAGGCCACACAAGCAGGGCACAGGCGCCCCGACCTCACTACCACCCTGAGCTGTGCCTACGTGGCAGAACCCACACTTAGAGAGCCACGGGGAAAGCTGTGTCTACCTTTGTGCAAATCCATGTCTCAAAGTCTCTTTGATGTCAGTCAGACCCCAGCTTAAATGTCCCCTCCTGGTGACATCAGCCCCTTCTGATGTCTTAACTTACTGTCTATCACTGTCTAATATGAGGGTACTTTGGAAGTTTTGTGGAAAAGCAGAATTAAAAGATAAGTTGATTTTGGTGCAAAAAATCTTGAAAGCCCTGCACCGTTTTTCCAGAACACTCATTTCTCATAACCTTCCTGAAGACCGCTCATATGCATGAATTTCAGAAATCGGGACAGGCACCGTGGTGCAGCCGGGTAAACTGCCCCTTGGGATACCTGCATCACCCACTGGAGTGTTGGTTCAAGGCCCAGCTTTTCCACTTCCAATCTAGCTCCTTCCTAACGCATCTTGGGGGCCAGTGGATGATGATCCAAGAGCTTGGGCCCCTGGCACCCTCATGGGGGACCTGTGTGGAGTTCCTGGCTCCTGGCTTCAGCCCTGGAAGTTGGAGTGACTGGGGGAGCGAACCAGTGGGTGGAAGACATTTCTCTCTCTCTCTCTCTCTCTCTCTCATTCCCTCCCTCCCTCCCTCCCTCTCTCTCTCTCTCTTTCTCCCCTACCCCCACCGTGTGTGTGTGTGTGTGTGTGTGTCCACTTCTTACAAATTTTTTTTCACACCAAAATAAACTTCTCTTTCAATTCCATTTCCACAACCCTTCTGAAGCACCTCTCATGCACACTCACTCACTCACTGGTTTGCTTCATTTAGTGTCACAGTTTTTAATCTGTCTTCTCTCACTGGGATATGAGCTCCAGGGGAGGGGACACTACACTGTCAGGTTCACCCTGTTTACTCTCCATCCAGAGCAGTGCCAGCAGGAAGACAAGCTCAACGAACACCTGAATAAATACGACTCAGCAAAACACCTGCGGGGTGAAGAATTCTCCTTCCGAATGCAGACCCACTCAGGTTCAGCACCAGGTGATTCACAGCCATTAACAGCCCACGTGGAGAAGATCTGCTCCACTCTCTTTTCTACAGACCTCATTTCCAGTTTGAATTCCATTCACGTTATGATCCACATAAACAATACAAACTCCTCCAGGGGAAGACGAAGGGCACACAGGAATAAGGAAAATGCTTGGTATCTCCGTGTCTTGCCAGATTTGAAACACAAACACACTGCGTGGCTCGAGACGGCCACCCCCAGCCCTGCTGTGACTATTGTCATCCTGGGCCACGCTCTGTCCCGCGTGTCCCAGATCTGTCCTTACCGGAGACACAGAGTGCACTGGCCTCTCTGCCCAGGCCCCCTCCTGAGATCTGAAGACAGGACCTCCCACCTGACTGCACGCCCCAGGATAAAGCTGCTGCCCACGCCACGGGTGGCACCTCCCCCACCCTGGTGTCCTGCCTCCCGGAGACTCTGGTTGGCTGACATCCTCCTTGGAGGGAGGTGCCCAGGCTGTGGTCAGGTGTTTCCCACGTGGTCCCTTCAGTTCACCCTGGAGTGCAGTGGCCACAGCCACTATTTCCATCCAGGCCCCTGGCTGCATGTGTGTGAGGGGGTGCTGGGCAGGGTAAGACTTGTCCACTCCCTTATTTTTCCGAGAATTTTCAAATGCCCACCATTACTTCTGATGAGAAAAATAGAAACCCCACTGCCAAAAATAGAAACCAGCACTGAGGCAGCCAGAGGAGCCACCTCTGACCTCAGCAGCCAGACGAATCCTGTGGAGCCCACCCTGGGTCTCCCCTCTGCACCTACGACGCACCTGCTCAGGATCACCGCGGGCACAGACCCCGCCCTCTCGCGTCTTTCCTTCCCCAGCATCTTGTGAGCACCGCCCCGGGCTGTTGAGGACTCCCGGGGAGAGTGGCTCTCGGGGTTGTGCGACACCCCCTCTGACAGGTAAACCATCGAGCCTTACGCGTTCCACAGCAGGAGTGGACTCCCCAGGACAGGATGGGCCAGGCTGCCACGGGGGAGACCCCTTCCCGGGCAGGCAGGGGCCACTCACCTCCTCATTCTCTATCCTGAGCGTGGCCAGTCTGGACTGCAGCTGGTGGTGCCGCATGAGCAATTCCGTCTGCACGGGCTGCTGGGCGCTGACCTGGCATACCTGCAGAGACACAGCCCCACCTGTGCTTGCCGAGCCCACTCACCCGTCCTTAACATCCCTCGGACAGGTGAAGACCCCAGCCTGAGGCACGTGGCTCGCACGCAGGGCCCCACGGGAACCCAGCTGTTCCTGCCCAGCGGCCGCCCTCTTGCCTCCCAGTCACACATTCCGTATCTGTGGAGCACGCAAGGGGTCACTAAGAGCTTGGACGCGACCTCATCCAGCAGAGCCAAGCCCTGGACTTCAAGGCAGGGAGCTGAGGCAAGAGAGCGAGCGCCCGGGAGAAGCAAGATGCAGGCGGCTGCAGCCAAGCACTGCCGACCCCACGGAAGACGCAGGTGGTGGCTTTGTGAGCCCCTCCTCCCCTGTGGGAGAGCACGGCCAGCCCTCCACACCCAGGGGGCTCACGCCCACAGGTCCAGCCAAGCACGGATCTAAAACACAGAGGGAAAACCACTGCCTCTGGACTGAACAGGTGCAGACAGCGTGCGCGAGTGTGTGTGCTATCGTTACTCCCTAACCAACAGGGCATAACGACAGCACATCACACAGCAAGCACGTTGTGTTACATGGCATGACGGACGGGGTACGGGAGGATGTGTGCAGGTTCTGTCCAGGTGCCACACCGTGTCATATAAGGGACTGGAGCGTTTTGCCGTCTGGATGCCGAGTAACACCCGTACCATCCTCCCTACGCTTTCATCTGGCTGTACCTTAGCCCCCACCCCTTCTGGGAACACCAGTAAGACCTGAAGGGACCGGATGCCTCTGCAGACTGAGCCAGTGATCCCCCACTACCACACTGGACAGTGCTTAGCAGCAGCCACACAGTGGGGGTGGGGCGCAGGACTGCACGGGGGGCAGTGGGGTGAGGCAGGAGCATCAGCACCCCTTGGCACACGAAGAAAACAGGCAGAGCTGAGCAGGGTGCAGGGTGCCGAGGTGGTGGCTAAGCTCCCTGGAGTCCAGGGGCAGGCCTGGGTCCCCTGCTCCAAGAGGGAGAAGCAGCCCAGCGGCCATTTGTGTCCAGGATTGTGACCCTGGGCTGACCAGTAGCTCTACGCTGGGGCTGGGGGCAAGCATCCGCCCTGCCTCCCTTTTTCAAATGTTCAGAACAGAGCCAGGATCTGTGCAGGAGCCCTGCAGGCACCTCAGACAGGTGGGTGGCAGCTCTTGGGGGGGTGGGGGCGGGGCAGGCAGCGCCACGCACCCAGACTTCCCAGCCTCCAGAGGCAGCAGCCACCGAGTACTGTTCTTTATAAGTTATCCGGACTTGTGTTGACAACAGGAAACAGGCTATGACACACGTGCCTGAGGAGCGGCTTGAGCCCAGCGGTTACGCCACCTGCACCCTACATTAAAGCGCCTGGGCTCCATGCTGGCTCCGGTTCTAAATCCCAGCTTCCCGCTGATGCACACCCTGGGGACCAGAGGTGACGGCTCGGGCCGGTGGGTTCCTGCTGCCCACGTGGGAGACCTGGCTTGAGTCCCCAGCTTCCAGATTTAGCTGTGGACTTCAGGGAGTGAACCAGTGGATGGGAGCCAACTCATCGTTTCTCTCTCTCGTTCTCTTTCAAATTAATAAGTAATTTTTAAAAAATGAAAACAAGAAAGGGCACAGCGCAAGCGCAGGCTGCCGGGGAGGCCGACCTCGTCCCCCATGTGGGGCTGGAACTCGAACTTGAGTGGCGGGCAGAAGACCTGGTTGCACATGTCCATGACTGTGTGCTTGTCACTCCGGGAATCCAGGCTGTCCACGGCGCTCTCGATGGCGTCCAGCCCCTCGTGGCGCGAGGTCTCCAGGTTGTATTCCGCTGAGAGGTAGGTCCGGAAGGTGCGGGCCAGGCTGGCGTGAAAGCCCAAATCGCAGCACTTGGGGAGAGGCAATGACAGGAGGACATCTGTGAGTGCCCAGGCCACAGAGCCATCCACCCGCAGGCCTGGTGCCCTCTGGACACTGCCCCATACCCCAGACCACGCAGTGCCCTCAGAAGGGAGCTGAGAGCTTTCCTCGGCCGCCTTTCTCATTCTTAGGCTTCTGCGAGTGCACCCCTCTGCCTTCTGGGTTCAGTTTAGAAGTCACTTCCTCCAGGAAGTCTTCCTTGATGTCCTTCACTGAGAGTTAGGGTCAGGGTCCATGTTTCCTTCACCTCCCTCACGGTGGCACCTGGCACTGGGATTGCCCAAGAATGCGTCCTCTGTGGGGTGAGTCCCATGAGGACTAAGCCACTGGCTCTTGCCCACAGCTGCTTCTCAAGTCATAGACCACAGTAGCAACTCAACAAATACTGAACTAACAATGGGGCTGAAAGAATACAAATCAGAGTCCAGAAGCAGGAGAGAGGAGGGGTCTGGCCTCAGGCCACTGCGGAGGCCAAGCAGCTCCCTCTCTTGCCAAGAGGGAATCTCTGACTGCCCAGCAGGACACCCCAGGGCCGGTGGGCAAGGATCCACCAGCCACTCAGGATCCTGGACTGAGCAGCCAGGGGCCAGGACTCCCATCTGTGCAGGAAGGAGAGAACACCAGGCCCGTTGTCCCCAGCGTGGTCCTCAGGGACCAGCGTTTCATTCCTCGTTGGTTTAAACCGCCTGACTCCACCCCCACGGGAAGCTGATCTGTGCCATTCTGCTGCGCGTTAACACCTCCTTTACCACGGTGGAACCCCCAGGGCACGCATTGCACAGGACACCCCGCAAACCCCTCAAACCCAGCAGAGCAGGAGGGCCCATGGGCAGGTGGTGCTGAACATGCGACTGCCCGAGAGAACCGTGTAGGGCCCACCCGTGGTTCAGCAGCCCCCCGCCCCCTCCAGCAGGCTGCAAAGGCCTCTGGCCACCCCCGCACGGCAGCTAAGGACCCAGGCCAGCCTGGGCAAGGACCTGGGCAGTGCCAGGCTCCCCGGGGGCGCTCACATCGATCAGGTCGGAGACGTCATGGATGTAGTATTTGCTGATCGCCGCGTTGGTGGCTGCCAGGTTCAGCAAGTAGTCGTTGCGGGCCTTCGTGCACTTGAGCTTGTTCTCGGAGTACTTGGCCTGCCTCTGGAAGAAGAAAGGAGGGACTCAGGGCCCAGCCCGCTCTGGAGGGATCTGTGATCCTCTTCACCTCGAGCCGCCGGTGCCGCGGGCCTGAGCTCACCTTGCAGCTCACATGCAGCCAACCACAGCAGTGGCAGCCTTGTGATGGTCTCCCGCCAGGGTCGGGTATCACCAAGGCCCCTACTCGGCACCCTCCCAACTGCTGGCCACAGCACATGAAGCGCCCCAGGACCGGGCCTGACCACTTCTGGAGCCCTGTCTTCTCCATGCCACCCTCCTTGCAGAACCTCTTCATCTTTCCTTTAAGGGACCAAGTTCAGGGCTAGCACTGTGGTAGAGTGGGCTAAGTCTCCACCTGCAGTGCCAGCATCCCAGACGGGCACCAGTTCTAGTCCCAGCTACCTCTTTTCAGATCTAGCTCTCTGCTGGTAGCCAAGGAAAGCAGTGGAAGATGACGCAAGTGTTTGGGCCACTGCACCATGTGGAAGACCTAGAAGAAGCTCCTGGTTCCTGGTTTTAGATTGGCTCAGTTCTGGCTGTTGCAGCCATTTGGGGAGAGAACCAGCTGATGAGAGACCTTTCTCTCTCTCTCTCTCTCTCTCTCTCTCTTTTTTTTTTTTTTTTTTTTTGACAGGCAGAGTTAGAGTGAGAGACAGAGAGGAAGGTCTTCCTTCTGTTGCTTCACCCCCCAAATGGCCACTATGGCCGGCGCACCGCGCTGATCCAAAGCCAGGAGCCAGGTGCTTCCTCCTGGTCTCCCATGCAGGTGCAGGGCCCAAGCACTTGGGCCATCCTCCACTGCACTCCCTGGCCACAGCAGAGAGCTGGACTGGAAGAGGAGCAACCGGGACAGAATCCAGCGCCCCAACTGGGACTAGAACCTGGGGTGCCGGCACCACAGGTGGAGGATTAGCTTAGTGAGCCACGGCACCGGCAAGAGACGTCTTTCTCTTTATCTCTCCCTCTCAGCATCTGCAACTCTCTCAAATAAATAGATAAATCTTTAAAAAAATAAGGGAGGTGAAGTTCATCGCCACCTTGAGGCCTTCAGACACATGCCCTATGCCTGGCAGTGCATCCTCCCCTGTGGTCCACTCCTTCCTACACAATGTGGTCATGCCGGCCTCTGGCGACAGTGGTGTCCAAACACCGCCACCCCATCTCCACTGCCCCTGCACCCACCCCAATCTGTCTTCTCCACTCCCTGGGATCACCCGCATTTCTGCCTCTGTCCACCGCAGACCGCCAGTGCCCCCACCGGAGATCCCTGCTCACGGCGATACTCAGCATGGCCCCAGCCCAGGGGGGACTCAGGCGACTCTTGTTGACGGGAGGGCAGGAGGGAGGCAGAGGGCAGCTGTTGGAGGCAAGCGGCCAAGGCAGCCCCAAGCCCGAACCTGACTGCCCTGGCCCGGCAGGGAGGACAGAAGCAGCAGGGGGCGGGAGAGCTGTCCCCTGCCCTGCCAGACCCAGGAGCCCCTGTGCGGAGGGAGAAGATGGCACTCCTCAGAGAAAAGGATCCCCTCTCCAAGTTACCCTAAACCTTCCTCACTGCACATCAAGTTCCAGCTTCCTAGTGGGAGTCCCATGTCATCCTCTTCCTCCTGAGATCTCCCACGACCCCCACCCCCGGTCCTCTCATTCTGAGAACAGCCAGGAGCAGATGTCCCGTGGCAGTGACCTCCTGTCCAGCTGTGCACCCGCCCCACAGACAGCACCGGCCCCCCTGGCCCATGTCCACTGTCTGCACTTGGCGCCCTCATCACATTCCAGGCCTGCAAATGATCATAAAGGCAGCTTAGCTCACCTCACCTGTTTTACAGGAGAGCAAGAGAACTGAAGAGGGGCTAAGCAGCAAACAACTCTGAACTGAACATCAGCTTCCCGGCTGCCAGTCAGGGCACTCCCTACGGCTCTCTGTTCCCCGAGGCACAGTCCTGCAACTCTCTGCCAGTCTTGCTTTTATTTATTTTAGTCTACTTTTATTCGTTATAGTCATGGAGTGGTACAGCCATCACTGCTACCTGGATTTAGAATGAAAACAAACACCGTGCTGTGAGCAGCTGCCCCTTCTCTGCTGGCCCCTGTACCCATCAAGCTCTTCCTCCTCGGGACATCCTCCGTGGGTCGGTCTTCTCTGACCTGTCCACCTGTCCACCTGCCACGGCACGACATCCAGCGCCTTCACACCAGCTTCTCTCACCGCGCACACTGGGTCTAAGTCTCATCAGAAACGCATTCCTTTTCATGGCTGAATAATTCTCCACTGTCTGGATATGTTCCTGGACCAGGTACATCTCTCTTTCCCTGTGCATATTCTTTTTTTTTTTTTTTTTTGTCAGGCAGAGTGGACAGTGAGAGAGAGACACACAGAGAAAGGTCTTCCTTTGCTGTTGGTTCACCCTCCAATGGCCGCTGTGGCCAGCACGCTGTGGCCAGCGCACCGCGCTGATCCGATGGCAGGAGCCAGGTACTTATCCTGGTCTCCCATGGGGTGCAGGGCCCAAGGACTCGGGCCATCCTCCACTGCACTCCCGGGCCACAGCAGAGAGCTGGCCTGGAAGAGGGACAACCGGGACAGAATCCGGTGCCCCGACCAGGGCTAGAACCCCGTGTGCCAGTGCTGCAAGGTGGAGGATTAGCCTAGTGAGCTGCGGCGCCGGCCTCCTGTGCATATTCTGATAACCAAAACAAACTACTGGGCTTCTGACTGACTGAAAAATGTTAAAACTGATACACAGAGACCAGCGCTGTGGCATTGGAGGCTAAGCCTCCGCCTGCAGTGCCAGCATCCCATATGGTATGGTTCCTATACTGGCTGCTCCTCTTCCAATGCAGCTCCCTGCTATGGATTCCAGAAACAAGGCCCTAAGAAAGCTGGCTTCTGTGGCAAAGTCGCCTGGCCTTGCTTGGTCAGCACAGGCAACAGCTGGAATTTGCCAGAACAAGAAACAAAGGGATATGAATAGCCAAGGGCGCAATAAGCGTGGGCTGCAGGCCGAGTGGTCTTCATCCTGGTTAACAAAACACTGGAATCTCTCAACACAACGCTTAGCCTCTTTCAGATTTCAAATACTGCTCTGCAGCTACTCGGCTGTACAGATCGTCCTGCTGTGTCCCTCACGACAAAGCAAGTTTCCCAAGGAACGGCACTGACAACTGAGATGCCTGGTATCAGACCGCAGCTGGCCTCAGCACCGGGCTCAGCAACCCTACCCCTACCCCTGCAGCCTCCCTGAGAGCCCGAGACCTTCCTCAGCGGGCAGTTCCAGAGACACAAGTCTTCTTGGTGCCCGGCCACTCACAAGTTGAACTTTATCCCTTTCCTTTTCCCTCAAACCTTCATTCAGCACCAAGGACAGGGACCAAACTCTTGATAACAGATTGGCCACACTTGACTCACTTCAGCAGCTGAACAGGTGCACTGTCTCCACCTTGTGGTGACCGTGACTAGGCGGCTTGAGATATCTGTGGGGGTGTGGGTGGGGTTTTGCCTGGACCCGTGCCTTTCTTTCTCTCAGTAGACACTCAGGACTGGAAATGCCGACTCTCACGGTAACCAAGTCTACATCGATCACTCTGAGGAACTACCAGACGCCTTCCAAAGCAGCAGACCCTCTCAAGTTCTCTCCGGCAGTGTGCGAAGATGCCAGCTTCCCCACACCCTCACCAGCACTTGCTCCCGTCTGCCTGCCTCACTTCCAGCCATCTGAGTGGGTGTGAGGTGGTGTCTCATCCTGGCTTTCGTCTGATCTTCCCTCTTCGCTAATGAGGCTGAACATCTTTTCAGCTAAGCGTTGGCCACACCATATGTTCTCTGGGGAAATGGCTCCTCAAAGCCTTTGCCTATTTTTTAAATTGAGTCTCCGCCTGGTAATTGGATTTTTCTTTGCCTCCAGAAACCACCCTGGAATTCTCTTTCATTTGCCTCCTGTTACTTCTCCAGCTTGCCTCGGTCCTGTTGGGTTTTGTTCCCACCCACCCTCCTCGAGTTTCCAGAGATAAAGGACTCACAGGGACCCCAACAAATACGCAGGACTGTGTTTGGCAAAGGGAGCTCAGCAAGTGTTTGTGACTGTGTGGAATGAATGGATATAGAGAACTCAACAACAGAAAAGCATAGCCTCTTAAGAAGAAAGGAAACTCATAAGTTATTAGCTGAGGTTGACACAAAAGGCAGCACCTGTGCTGTCCCTTGAAGTCCCCTGGCCACGGCAGACATCATGAAAGGATCTCAGAACTAACGCCAGACAGGGTTTCACCATCTTCCACTCAGTGTTTGGGACAGCCATGACCAAGAGCTCACAGCTGGCAAGAAAGGGGGGACTTATCTGCCACCCCCGACAGATCCGCAAACTGAAGCTTGAATGCGGCTGTAAATGCAGCATGTCCAGCCCCTCTGACTCCATCACTAGAACTTGTCCCCCAGCCCTGCTAAAGGACTTCCCAGCACCGACACACGGCAAGCCTAGGCTTCTAGTTTTAGAAGGGCTCTTCACCAGGCTCCCTCCCAGGTGCAGCTGAGTAGCCCGGAGATGTTCTCTCCCCATGGGACACACTCAGTCCCCATCAATCGGTCCCCATACCAGGCCCCAGCTGATGAACTCTCAAACAGCCCCCGCCCCCCAGTGCCTGAGGTCCCTGCCCACCCTCCGGGTGCCTGCTGGGGGTGAATGCTGGTGGAAGTAGCGGGGCTGGAGCTCCTCTTCCTGCCTTTGGGCTCTGGGGGCTCGGCCGGATCTGACCAGTGCTACCAGGGACCCAGCCAGCCCAGCCTCCTCCACGACACAGGCCTCCAGGAGGGCTGGGAGTGCAGCACAAGGCAGGGAAAGGCTGTGGCCGAGAGTGGGGCCCTCCCTCCCGGGCCCTCTCCCTGCCTCCCCAGCCTGGGCCCCCACTTGCCTTCTCCTTCATCTTCTCGATCTTCTTCACAGAGCTGCGGCGCTGGGGCCGGTCCTCGTGCCGCAGCAGGTTCATGCTGAGCTCTCCCGACTTGTTGAACTGCTTCTCCTCCTGCTTCTCAGCCTCCTTCAGCTTGCTCTCGGCACTGATGCTCTCCGCGTGGTACATGTGGTAGGTCTTCATGACCTGGGGACACATCGCGTCAGGAGTCAGCAGCCTGCCAGGGCCCAGCGCGGTCCACCCCGAGCCCCCGGTCCCTCCCGGGTGCTGCTGCAAGCTGTCCTGCTACCCCGTTTCCCTGACATGCTCTGAGCAACCGCATTTCGTTGGCACCAATGCCGAGAGTGGAAATGGTGATCATCGTCAACATGAAGTCCCAAATGAGTGCCAGGATGAGTGCCGGCTCCACAGAGGGCCCCGAAAGGTCACCACAGCCCCCAGGCACCTGGGGGCTTCAGAAACACAGCAACTGTGAAACAACCCAGATAACCAGCAGCACAATACATCCGCAAACTACAGCACAGCCATACACCGGACTACCCAGCCGGCACGAAGAACAGCGGCAGGCACCGGACACGGGGGTCAAGATGCCCCTTGAGATGCCTGCGTCCCCTGACACGGCGCCTGAGTTTCAGTCCCAGCCCCACTTCTGAATCCTGCTTCCTGCTACTACGTGTCTGGGAGGCAGGGGGCGTGGCTCAAGTGCTTGAGCCCCTGACATCCACGTGGGGGACCTGGTCATGTTTATGGCTCCTGGATTTGGCTCAGCCCAGCCACGGACATTGTACTCACCTGGGAAGTAAACCAGTGAATGGGAGCTCTCTCTCTCTCATCTTCTCTCTCTCTCTCTCTCATCTTCTGTCTCTCTCTCTCTCTCTCTCTCCCTCCCTCCCTGCCTCCCTCCCTCCATCTCTCTCTGTCTCTCTGCCTTTCAAATAAGTGAAAACAAGCACATAAATTTTTTAAACAGAATATTCGAGACATCCAAGCCTCATGGGTAATCTCAAAGCATTTTCACTGAGTGAAGCATCTATGACTCTCAAGTCCTCCGGCCCGCCCAGGGTCAGCTGCTGAGTCCCTCCTAACGCAGCCAGGGGACCTCAGTCGGGAACATCCTTCTTACTCACACACAGATCATTTTCTCAGCTAAAATGGCCTGCAAATAGCTCTGTCCCCTGAAGGAGCATCGTGAGATAACTGAGGAGGCATTCTGTGCTCCTGGAACTAACTTATGCCTGGCTAGAAAATAAAGTCCTCAGACTGCACCTCCTTTATAAAAAGTTGGTTATGGAGGACACATTGCGGCATACCGGGTAAAGCCATGGCCTGCAATGCCAGCACCCCATACGGATGCCGGTTCGTGTCCTGGCTGCTCCACTTCCAATCCACCTCCTTACAAGCGGCTTAGGAAAAGCAGTGGAGGATGGCCCAAGTGCTTGGGCCCTGCCATTGACAGGGGAGATGTGGATGAAGCTCCTGGCTCCTGGCTTTGGCCTGGCCCACTGCTGGCTGTTGTGGCCATCTGGTGAAAAAAACGAAAGGATAGAAGATCTCTCCCTCTCTCTCTTTCTCTGTAACTCACATTTCCAAACAAACAGATAAAGCTTTCAAAAATGGATGTGACCATAACAAGAGAAATTTTTGAGCCAGAATAAATCCTAGACATTATCTAATTCAACAACCATCGAGTTTTATAAAAAGGGAAACCAAGGCCCAGAGGGGCAATATATCAGTTCAGAATGTCCAGGCTTCACGTACAGGTAGCCAGCGTGGCATGGCCACATCCATCACACTGAGACTCCCCACCCCATGCCTCTGCAGCCCCAGGAAATGGTGGATGTGCATAGGGTTTCTGTGTTCTAGAATTCCACACACATGCATCACACTGCATGGAACTCCCTGGGTCTCCTCTCTTTCACTCAGCAAACAAAAAAATTTTGAGGGTCACTAATGGCATTGTATGGTCAGAGGCTCCTTTTTAAAGCTTTGTTTATCTGAAAAGCAAACAGAGAGAGAGAGAGAGAGAGAGAGAGAGAGGTCTTCCAACTGCTGGTTCACTCCCCCACATGGCCATAAGAGCCAGGGCTGGGCCAGGCTGAAGCCGAGAGCCAGGAACTCCGTCTGGGTTTCCAACATGAGTAGCAGGAGCTCCGGCACTTGGGCCATCCTCTGCTGCCTCCCAGGCACATTAGCAGGGAGCTGGATTGGGAGAAGAGCATCCAGGACTTAAACTGACATTCTGATAGGGCACGTGGGTTTCCTAACTGGTGGCTTAACCCACGGCACCACAGGGCCCACCCCAGAAATTCTCCACCATATGGCTGTACCACATCTTGTCTGTTTGTTCAGCCTTTGACAGTTCTTTGAGTCGCTTTTGCTTGGGCTGCTAGAATACAGCTGCAGTGAGTGTTCATGCACAGTTCTTTGTGTGGTCATAGTTTTCATTTCTCTCAGATAAACATGTAGGAGGAGAAGAGAAGACCATACCACGAGTACAGTTTCGTGTCCTTAGCAGTGTCCTGGTCATGACAGGGTGCACGACACAGCCGAGGTGTGCAGCAGGCTGTACCATCTCGCTGTATGTGAGTGCACTCTGAAGTTCACTCGGCGCTGGAATCGCCTAGCGATGCACCTCTCGGGACACGTTCCCACCAGTAAGCAACGTGTGACTGTGTACATTTAACCAGATCAGGTACCAGGTCTGCCTCTCGTAAGCACCACTTCTGCCACCACGTGGTCCCTTTCCCCTGAATCACTGCTGCTTCCTCAGCACGCGTGATCCTCTGGTCAGCCTAAGAACAGGCAGTGCAGCCCCAGCACAACAGCGTTTTGTCTCCCGTCCCCAGCCAGGAGTACACTTTCGCGTTGCAAAATCAAGTTTATGATCTCTGCTGAGAAACACAGAAATGCCTGCAACCCACAGTTCCTGAGTCTTGTTCTCTCTCCCCTGCTGACTGCATGACCACAGCTGCTGAGGGGCAGCCCCTAACCAGGCCCTTTAAATCAGAGTGCATGACCAGCCAACCCTCTATTCCTACTGCTTCTCACCAAAACCATCACCATCATCACCAATACCAATACCACCACCACCACCATCACGGGGCTATATGGCTGAGGGTTAAGAACCTTGAGCTTCCTTCAGGAAAATGTCCCAGAACTCTAGAGAACATTGGCTACTGTGAAAAACCTATGCCAGGCTCAGCCCTCTTTTCCTGTCCTGAAAACCTCTCAACCTTGCAAAAGCCACACAGGATGAAGAACTCAGTCACTGTCCTCCTTGGGTTCTGTGCAAACACCTCTGCTCTCATTCCACCCATTCACGCCCCTGAGCAGCTGCTTGAAAGCTTCTGGAGTCCCCTCTGCTGACGCCATCCATGCTGCTGCACTGCCCATGGCCACCAGCACCCAGTGCACTACGAGAGTGCTCCATGGTGCACTTCCAGCATCTCACAGCCAGAGGGACGGCCACAGGCCCGCAGACACCCGAGGCACTGACCAAGTCTCCGTGAGCTGGACAGCACGGTTTGGTTGGGAGCACCTGCTGCGCCAATAGCCCGCACCTCACTCCTCCCCAGGCTTTCTACTCGCATGGGGAAGCAACCAGCTGGGACTTACCTCCCCCATTTCCCTTAGCCTAGTTTTCTATGCCTTTTTATTATTTTCATATTATTATTATTATTAATATGAGAAGCAGAGAGAGCCAGAGACAAAATCAGAGAGAGCCTCCGTCTGCTAGTTCATGCCCCAAATGCCTGGAACCACATGGGCAGAAGCCAAGAGCTGGGGACTCCATCCAGGTCGCCCTGAGGGTGCCAAGAAATCCAGTGACTTCAGTCATGAGTGCTGCCTCCCAGGGTCTGCACTGGCAGGAGGCTGGGCCAGGGTGAAACCAGGACTCAGACCCAGGCCCTCTGATGGGGGATGCAGGCACCTTCACAGCATCCTAGCCACTCTTCTCAGTGCCCACCCTGCTCTCCACTCTCCTTGAGCCACAGAGCACTCTCCCTCCTCTCCACCAGGCCCCCTTTCTAGCAGAGTCTGCATGCATTCCCAAAACCCCAGGTTGGAGAAAACAGCCAGGCACCCCCTGTGGTGCGATTTAGTCCTGGTCGCAGTAACAGTGGTGAACCCATCCCCCGAGGGACAGCTGCCACCAAGACCTTCGCTGGGGCCTCTCTGAAACGAGTCTGTGCCCAGCACCCTCGGGAGGCTGCCTTTGCTGCAGTACGCTTGTCCCCTGGTGTCTGCAGGGGTGCAGTTCCAGGACCCTCTGAGGCTGCTAAAACCCACGGATGCTCAAGTCCCTCTTATGAAATGGTGCGTTTGTCTACAACCTATTCATTTTTACCATTATTTATGCAAAATGCAGAGTAACAGAGAGACAGACACAGAGAGATCTTCTACCTATGAGTTTAGTCACCACAAGTCTGCAACAGCTGGGACTGGACCACATCACAGCCAGGAGGCCAGGAGCTCCGCCCAGGTCTCTAGTGTGTGTGGCAGGGACCCAAGAACTTGAGCCATTACCTGCTACCTCCCAGGCTTCACATGAGCTGGAAGCTGGATCCCAAGTGTGGAATAGCCAGGACTCAAAGCAAGCACTCTGATATGGGATGTGGGCATCCCAGGCAGCAGCTTAGCCAGCAACGCCACATGCCTGTCCCTTCCTATACACCTGCGGTCTTCCCCAGGTGACTCATCAGACCTGGTGTGACGTGCGCGCTATATGAATAGTCACGCTTCATAGTTTAGGGAGCAGTGACAAGGAAAATATCCTGCACATATTTAGTACAGATGCATATTTTTTAAAAAGAGGTATTTATTTATTTATTTATTTGAAAGTCAGAGTAAGAGAGAAACACACACTGGTTTACCCCCAAGATGGCCACAACAGCCTGTGCTGCCCCAGACTGGAGCCAGGAGCCAGGAGCTTCTTCCAGGTCTCCCCTGTGGGTGGCAGGGGCCCACTTACTTGGGCTATCCCCTGCTACTTCTCTCAGGCACTGGCAGGGAGCTGGACAGGAAGTGGGGCAGCCAGGACACACACTAGTACCCATATAGAGTGCCAGCTTCACAGGTGGCGGCTTACCCTGCTATACCATAACGCCAACCCCCATGTGCTTAATTTTATCTATTTTCTATCTGTGATTGACTGAACCCGTGTGGATCCAACAGGTACATGCGGC